CAAGCATATGGAATGGTTAACAAGAGCTCTGCATCGACTATCGTTCGTTCATTCGAACTTTTGAAAGTGCCAAGACCAGCCCATGGAGAGGATGCAGCCTTGGAGTTGAAGTCTAAGTCGACAGATTACTCGTCGTCCCCTCCTCCCGGGTGTTAGGTATTCCATCTTGGCCAGACTCGCACAGGGCCGAGCGGTGCAGAACCAGCACAAGCAAACAAATACCGCGGGGAGACTTCTACGTAGTAAATGTGCCGCCCCCAATGCGACGTCGATTAGCAGCAGCCCTCATCCCGGGTGAGCTGAGCTAAGTTTTGGCCTAAGCAGCGGGATTTTCCATCGCCGGCGCAGAGATAACTCAGCTATGCAAGTCAAGCTGAGACTCTGTAGGAGAAGAAGCACTAGATCCAGGGCTTTGGGTGTTGGGAGGATCCCACGTAGAGACAATTAACCTCATCATTGCATTTACATGATGCAAGGCGAGCGCCATGCCGCAAATCAGATCATCTCAAGAGCTCCGGAGACGCGACCTTGGCTGACCCCGGGGCTTCTCGCTCTGTCTCCTACAGTAACAGGCCGTCACATCACCCGTCATCGACCTCGAAAGCGGTGGGAAAAGCAGCACCGGTTGATTGACAGCGCGGCGGTCAAAGTCCACTCCGTCGATGGCACGTATCGCGCCGTGCCCTCCCGGTCCTTGACTGCTCCTCGTACACCTCACGATGTGACGCTGTTGACAGTAGGCTGATCTCACACAAGTCCTGACAGCCAGGCGACGACGAGAGGTGCGTTCATCCTGTTCTCCATCCTCGCCGCCGTCAACTGGGCCCGTGTCATCGTTGACAGGAAAGCAGAAGGTAGCAGGCGGGACGTCATGACAGCGTCAAGGGGGTGACAATGGCACCTCGCTATCGTCGGCGTTTGGCAGAGTGGTTCCAGCATCGCTGGCCCTGGCGGTGCGCGTGTGGGTGCCGCAGAACAAGATTCGCAACCTGGACCTTGATGAATGATGCGGTGTCGACTGTCGTCAAATTCTCACAAGGCTATAAATGCTTGGTGATATAGGGTCAGGGCAAGGGCAGAGTATCGTCTCAACGGCGCGAATCTCGAGAAGCACCGACCAGCCCAGTTGCAGTGAACAGTGAACGTTCCTTTCGGTGCCAACCGACAGGGGCTCGTCCGTCGCATCTTTGTTTGCTAATACCAAGTTATCTGTACGGATATCTCCAAAGCCTCCAGGGATACCGTTCCCCCGCACCCGGCTTGCCACTGTTTGTCACGGATACAGTGTAGCCATCGTGAGCTTAGTCCGAGATAGAGATTGTTAGGCGCCGTACCATACCCTTCCGATGACACCAACCCCCAGTACTCCGGGACCTCACTTCTAACTCCCTCTTTGCTATATGCCAGACCGAATATCTTTCCTGATCCCGGCCTCGCACAACTTGCTAGTCTTCCGCACCAGTGATCCAGACATCGACTTTGACAGCAAGCTACCTGCCACAACTCTGTTCCTCCGCTGCTCCCCTGATCCTTTCCATTACACGGACCGAGAGGGGAGGCTGGTGGATTGTCGGCAGCAGCCCCTCCCCGCACAAACCGGCGCCGGTACACGGTTGCGGAATCTTTGACTCTACGGACGCTCACGGATCTGCGGATCTTGCTTCATGTCGCTTGCCCTCTGTGCCTCTCCTCTCACATGACAGATGATGGCGTAAGCAGCAGCCTCTGTGCCACATTCTTGCGCCAGCCTCACTTGTGTCTTGGGTGGGAAACTGACAAACGCTCGGAGGGCGACATGTTTGATGCAGAGTCGAGCACAGAACACTCATGTTTGACGCATTGCTGACTGGCGCCGTTGAGACCCCTGCGAAACATCGTTGGGCCGTGCAATACCAGAGTCAGGATTAACACAGCTTCCTAGAATTCGTAGCTTCGGTGCACCTGGTTCCTCCGGACTAGGTAACTGGAATATACAGATGTGCCTCTCGCGAGTCGCAGGGTCCCCCAAAGGGCTATAGAGGTCCAGCCCTTCCAACTTCCAACTTCCAGCCCGGAGCTTGCCTTTATTCTCCGACTAGGAGGATGAGCTTCCAGGGGACTCAAACGCACGCCGCTTACACTCCTTGCTGCCCACGCGCGAGGCAAATCTTTAGTGTAGTTGTTAACCCCTCCAACGACATGCTGTCGGCTGTGGCTGAAATGGGGAACGAGGCGGGCGCAACTCCCCCATCCTCTGCTTCGTGCCATATCCGGCATCGCGGTTTCGGGGCATCGTGGAAAACGCCCGCTTCTTTTCTCGCCCTGGACGGTACATCCGGATACGGCAGCTTTATCCAACTTTCATCCATACTCTCCGGCTGGCGGAGGGCCCACGCCACAGGGTAACGTAGCTCATGTGGGAGCCAACGGCGGACAGGGTAGGCTTACGTGCAGCAAGCCCGGCAAGGAAGAAAAAGGTTAGAAGCATAGGCCAATATGGTCCGATGTTGCGAGATGTAGATGAAATCCCTCTCGAGTCACGATGTGTGAGAGAATGACAGGAACTCGCCGCGGCGTAGTCATGGCCATGCAGCAAGAATCTTGCTTTCGGAACCTTTCAAGACAAGCCTCCAGCCTTCTCGCGGTCTCGATCCTCGGCGGCCCTATCTGATTGCAGGTAGCTTAATGGCGAGGTACCATCGACCCCTTGGTGGACAGGTTTGCTATGGGTTCGGTGAGGTGGCAGGTGCTGCTGCTGCTGCTGGGCTAGTGGTCAGGGTGAGGTTACATTCTGTCGAAATGCTCCAAGACTGTGAATAGCTTCGCTTTTGCGACCCCCGCCAGAAGGATGGGGTCAGCCTGCACCAAAGTTCCTTGTACACTCGCCAAGAAGGGCACAGAATCTTAGGTCTCGTGAGTTTCTCACAGCGTTTGCGCCCAACTTGGGAAATTCAAATGGCCTTGTACACTCGCCAAGAAGGGCACAGAATCTTAGGTCTCGTGAGTTTCTCACAGCGTTTGCGCCCAACTTGGGAAATTCAAATGGCTTGCATGCCTAGTTCTGGCTCACGCCGTCCCGAAACATCACCCCTCGCCGTGTTGAGCTAGGCCGTTTCTTTCCTCTGTCGCCCGGATCATTGAAAACCTGATTTCGATGGCTCTCTAGAAAAGTCGGCAGATATGCATAGAAGCTCTGACCCAAGGCAGAATTCCCACTTTCGAGGGGTTTTCTATACCATACTAGCTCGAAAAGCAGCGTCTAAGCAACACCCCCGGCTCCTTCTATGAGAGCGATATAGGCGCTAGAAGAAGACCCAAGCAGAGCCTCCTGTCGCTTTTGCGTTTGCCAGACCAGGCAAGTTGCTGTCAGAACGCCGATCAGCCATCTGGATTCCGATCTTGTCGAGCCTGTCGTGCCCACTTCGGCCGTCCCTGATGGAAGTTTTCGCGAAACGGGCCCCCGGGGGTTCCCGCTTGCGCTGGTGCTGTCTTGTCTACATGTCGCATGGAACCCCGTTTTCCCACTCTCGGCCGTGAACCGAAAGCACTCTTCCCCCCTGTACGGAGTAGAAGAGAGGCAATTGCGAGCTTGTGAGAGTCTTTGAGATTCTATCCGAGATCCTCAGATGTCTCCAAAACGGTGCCCTTTCCGAAGAACCGAACGCGTTAATGCAGGTTCTTGGAACGGGGAAGAACCGGGAAGTGTGAAGAAATGGTTCGATGAATGCAGCTGACAGGCTAACTCATCGTGATTATCAGCTCTCATCAAAGAGTCGTATCATGGCGGCCCATATCGGCCGGGCACCCAGTCTCTCGGCGGGCGTTGAACACATGTCGCGAGCTCCGGAGACTTGGGGCAGGATATGAATCGCACCGGCCGGGACCCCTCCCTACCCATCCCACTTTGCCCAGTGGATCATATTCAATCAGAGGTGTTTGGACCTTCACGATGTTTTCAATATCCCAAGCTTTTTTCTATCGCTTTCGGAGGAAATGCTCCCCCAACCCCTGGCCAATTACTTTCAGCATTGAGTTTGACAGACAACGATTATGATCCGCGCTATCCGGTGATAATGTGAACTCCGCGTACTATTGTGACGGATACTGAACTACAACATTCCGTCCGCTTCCGTTGCCATGTCGAAACGAGGCAGTGACAGATCAAGCTATGCAAACGAACGAGCAACTCCGTCCCATAACGTGTTAACAAGCTCACGCCAAGATCCTGACAAGCTGACAACGATGTAGTCTTCTCTGCTACCTCGTCGCTGACCGGAAGCTACCTGTACCCCGCATCGTTGCAACATCACCATCATCAAGCTCTCCTACTCGACCGAGAGATGGAGCGGCGTAAGCTCCGAGACTACGGCCCCCAACCAATTGACAATGAAGACCGAAGTTGCCTATGTGAATTCGCCGAAGACGCACCGGGCTACATTCGCGGTACCTGAATGGTTCTTTCGTTACAGATACTACACAATACTACACTACACTAAGTACGAATGATGTCCAGAACTTACGCGCACGTCAGTCGAACCTCTGAGCGTTGACAGGACGATGGACCAACTTTAGAGTTTCCCGCCGTGCCTTTCGCTCACTTCGCCAACGCGAAAAAGTGTTCCTTCGCTTCCGCCGGATAGGGTGTGATGATGGACGCCCGGGATCCCCTCCGCGGCACTCCCTAGCAAGCTTCTCGCAAGCTCTTAGTCCACAGCACTTCAGCCGATGAGGCGTCTCGCAGTTTCACGACGGGGATCATCGACGTCCAGCGCATGCCGGCAGAGCAGATCTCCAAGATACACGAGACTAATTCATTGGCTATCCTGCCGTCCATCTCCCGGGCTACACAAATCTAGACCGATTCTCAGCCCCTCCAGGCTACCACATCCCATGCGTCGTCCCATCACCACTTCAAACGGCACCCATCCCATCGGGCCAATCTCACATGTTTCCCTCCTCTCACGTAAGGTCAGGTAGGAGAAACCCAAAAGTTCCAGACTCGTCCATCCTTCCCCGCAAAGTCAAACCCGCGCCCGTCTCACATCAGGATGAATAACTTTGCCTCCCTCGCGCCTCAGCGAGCGCACGCCAGTGTCGTCGAGGCCCGTCAGCCACGCGGCCCCCGCAATGCGGTCGCCGTGTCCGTCTGGCGGGAGGCTGACGGCGACTTTGTGGGCCAGTGCTTCCGGGACCCGCCGGAGGACGTTGCCGGTCACGGATAACCAGTATCGTTCGTAGTAGATGTCACTGTCCAGCCAGAGATTGACCGTCATCAGCTGAGGAGTGTCGAGAAGTCTTAAGATCGCGCTCCATGATTCTACCCACTGCTCGAACGTGCTCCCTTGGTCTGCCTGGCGCCTGAAAGAGAAGTTGATGCGCCGGAGCGGATGACTGTTGGACGTCTTCCATCGGACGCCGAAGAGGTTCCGTGCCTGGTTGATATCGGTGATGGTGAATACGGTAGACCTGTAGATTGACGAGGAACATTCGGCGTATCTACATGGTTTTGTGTAAGTGACTATAATAGAGGGCGGGAGTCTTTAAAGCCCTCTCCATACCCTTAAGTGGAAAGTTCCAACTTACAACGTCTTACAAGTCAGCATCATCGGTAGATACGGTGAAGAAGCTCCGACCGAGTCTCTGTGACCTGTTCGGCACCGCGCAATATATCGCCATATCTCTTTTTCATCTCTCGCCTCTTCACATTTCCAGTGATCACACCACGCTGACATCTCTCGCTTGTACCAGAGCGATACTGATCCTCTGGTATCAGAATCAGAGCCCATCCAGTTGAACTCCCAAGCGTTATCTCCTTCGACAATGGTACCTGACTCGAGTCTTTCAAATAAGCATCTGGAATGCCCAAAGCCGGCTTCAGTCAAGATGATGTGCTGACCAAGGCCAGACATACGCCATAGTTCTCGATATACAATCTCTCGAATCTCTTTTGGAAGCCTGTCTAGCAAACCTAGACTTGATCGGTCAATAAGGGATTGCCTGCGTAAGTCGTGATTGTGATGGTGAGATATGTCGCCTAACAGGTCTTCGACGGAAGCGTGATATATCTCGTCGTGCGCCACAAGGGTCTCTGAGGAATCGCTGCCAGTGAATACATGTAGCTTGGGAACGGCTGCACTTGGAAATATCCTGGCTTTGATATCAGATCGAACGCAGGATATCCTCCTCTTGAGCTTTCTAACCAGGGCGATGGGGCCTGCGATTGAGCGAGTGCCAGTATGGCCGGGCTGATGGACCTGGTCACTCATCTCGGTAGGTAGCGATTCGACGAGCAGAAGGCTTAGCGAAGGAAGAAGGAACCAGGTCGATGCTGGAAATTTTGAATGGGAAGACTCTGGGGATAGGGGACTGTTTGTCGCAACCTTCCTGGCTTACCAGCAAACGCTCATGGATAGGCATCCAGCACCGCCAACCAGGCATGCAGGCAAGCAAACGGCATCGATATCACCCGCAGACATGGACCAACCAACAGTCGCATCGTTCACGCCGCATCCGAATGTGGGCAGAATGTTTGTCTGAAATGGGCCATGCCTAGCTAATTTGTCACGGCTATCAAGACAAAGTATTGCAATTATCATGAGTTTCAATTCAGAGACCGTATGTGGGTATTGTGGTCAGAGCTAATCGACAAAATTCCGTCGCAATCTAACGCCAGTAATCCAAAGACAGCATCAAAACGCTGAGTTCCCCCGTTCAGGTGCTAGCATAGAGGTTGCCAACAAGTTGCAAGCTCTTCCGGCCTTACAGAGTCGATGTTTGTTGTTGATGAGGTATTTACTTCTGCTCTTGCTTGGTCTTGCCAGCACCGCCGCCAAACAGGCCACCGACGAAGCCGCCAGCGCCCTTGACGCCCTCAGTGGTCTTGCCGGCAACGGTCTTGCTGCCCTCAGCCACACCGCTGCCCGCCTGGTTCAGCGCACCAGAGCCGGGAACAGCGGTGGGCACGTAGCCGCCCTCGTCATCCTTGCCTTGGCGCTCGGCGCGGTTGACGCCCTCCTTGGAGACCATATCGCCAACGGGCTGGAGGAGACCGCCCTGGCCGACCTGGCCGGCAGCGAGGTTGTGCACGCCGTCTTGGAGAGTGTCGACCTGCTCGACGCCGGTGACCTTGCTCTTGTCGAGGGTATCTGAACACGAGTACGTTAGTACGGATTCTCAACGGCTACTGACTAGCCCAGGTACTAGTGTGATGGGAGAGGTTCGTGAAGGCGTTGGTGGCTTACCCTTAGTCGCGTAGCTGGCCTTGTTGTCCTTGGTGAACCATCTCAGGTAGACGTCCTCGAGCCATGGAACCCACTTCTCGTACTGGGTGTTGTATGTTTGCTTTGCCCACTCTGCCATTATGAAGGATTTTGTTGAAGAGTATTAAGAAATGTGGTGATATTGTCTGTTTGTAGGATGATGGAAAGTACAGTCAAGTATGCAATAAGATCAACGAGATGAACACCATAAACGGATGGGAAACACGACGTGGACCATCAGCCTGATATACGTCCATCCAAAAGGCCCAGCCCAGCCCAAGCACCAGCACCAGCACCAGCTCTCTCGCACACACTTTCATCATCAGAGTCGTCACTCGCCCATCCCTTCTCATACTTTACTACGCATGTGCGTACGTGTGGCTGAAGATGCCCATGGATACGTCATACGGGTCCGTGATGGAGGCGTCGAGGCGCGATGCCATAGGCTGCCGTGCTTCGAGGTGCTGTCAGGCAGCCGGGGAGGACCCCCGTCGAGGACCCCTGCGCAGCGGCATCATCAAGCGCAATGACAAAATCCTGGAAGTTGGCAGCCACATCAAAAGTTGTGCGATAGATGCGCCACGCGGGGGGGAGTCCTCCTGGCTAGCTTTGACCACTCAGCACAAGCAAGCTGCTCTCTTGTTGGCCTTGGGTTTCAGATTACGCCTTGGGGAGTGAGTGGTGGGAAAATGCCTCTCTGGGTGAGCTAGAGTCATCTCCTCACACTCTTCGAGTTGGTTGGTTTCGTGATGGAGCACGTGGGGAGAGAGACCAGCGGGAGGCAGATGGTGGGATGGGACGTGGTATCCAAGTGGGCGGAAAGAAATAAAGATAATGGGAAATGACTGGCCCAGATCGAGATTGCGGGTTGCGACGTCATCCCGCCGCTATGTGGGGCCATCTCCGATGAGAGTGGGGACAGCGTGCCGGGCTGCAACGGCCTGGTGGGGCCCGGCGTTCTCCGGGCCGTGATGCTCTTTCAAGATCGCGATGCGAAACCGCGGGGAATGAGGTACGTGCCTGTCAGCTCATGCGAGAAATCATTGCTTGAGCATTATGAAAAGTTGAGGTGCATTCTCTACAGAAAACCCCCGGCTAGGTATTTGACTATTGAAATAAACACGACTTGAAGCTCATAGTCAAGCCCCTACTTTGGCTTGATGCCCTGCATCGTCTGGATGGTGGCTGATCTATGTGAAACTTCCAAGGAGACCTTATTATCTTTCCAAGATTGACTATGAGCTCGAGATTTCCAAGGCGTTTGTGCCTATATCTGAGTAGCATTGTTTGACGCGCACGAGATCGCCGGGGTTGCATCCAGCTCACGGACTTCCATCAGTGCCGTTACGTTTGATCTGTCTCCAGAGAGTGGTACGTAGAAATGTACCTGTTGAGGTGTAGCTGAGATCGGCGACGACTGATGCTGTCCGAGCTCCGGAGTAGGACTAGTAATTCCCAGCTCCGATACAGCATTGCCGTTGAGTTCTGAGAATCCTGGTCCGGCAGGCATACGCCGGGGTTCCGCAGCTACTACAACGCGATGATAGGAACTTGCCTGTCTCAAAACGGTTCGGCCAGTACGGAACCATTTTGCGGGAGTAAACCACTCGCTTACAGTCAGACTTCGCCCCGGGACTCGAGTAGCAGATCGTCTCTGGAGTTTGGCAGGCCGGGGTCGCTCATCGAGCACGCCGACGGATTGAGGCGTCCGCCAACTTCTTATCCATGCCCACCTTTCTGTATGCCTTGCCGCTGGAAGCATTGTAGGGCGCTCCGGTTCGATTGCGCTCCAGGGCTCTCGGTTTAGACGCAGAGGCAGTCTGGTATCTCGGGTGCTTTGTCGGCGAGAATCGCATGGCAGTGATAGCTCGGAAACGGTGCCAAACCCAGGTTCTGCCCTAGCTATTGACCTGTTCAACCCCATGGCGCTGAATGAACGAGCGATTCGACCATACACAGGAGAACTCTCAGGTGTGGTATTAGGTGAAGATGCTGTTGTCGCAGGGCTTGTTAGGATTGTTTCCGTCGGCGAACTCTCATCGGCTGTGTGGCCTTCGATGGTACACGATGTTGAGCGGGCGACTACTATTTTGCTCGTATCAACTTCAAGTCGCCGGTGATTCGCCATGTTGAGTCGTAGATTCGAGGGCAGATGGTTGATGGTTCCCCAGCCATCCCATCGGACTTGTGACACCTCCTGTTCAGATGGTGAGCTCGTGGTGGCATCCTGATCACTGGGCTGTCCTATCGGGGAGTCTGGTAAAACCACACAGGCTGGATCGAGGGTATACGGTCCCAGAGCCACAGTGAGAAAGTCAGAGTGATTTTGGAGGAATTCCGCAACATTGGCCGGATGCCGGTACTTAAACCCAGGTGATAGCCTGCGTCGAAAAACTTCTGCGCTGAGGTAGTCGCTAGTCATGTCGTACGTCGTAGCCAATAAACCTAAACTATTGTTCAAGTCTTGCATGATGACATCGGTCTTGCGTAGTTTGGATAAGCGTGCGTGTCCCCTGAGTGCTTGCTTGCAGGTGTCAAGAGCGATGTCAAAGGAATACTCAGACAAGTACGCAAGTGCCAGAGCATGCAATAAGTTGCACACCACACTGTCCCTGCTGGACTTGGAAGAGGCCAAGCCCATAACGACAGGTTCAGCTAACTTCCAGTTGCCCTGGAAGAAATAACAAATGGCAAGCTGGATCTTGAGGCTGCGCATCGAGATGTAGCTACTCTGGCTGTGCTCTTCGTTGTTTGCGGTAGCTTTCTCGCATCGTGCAAGAGCTTTCTCCAACAGGTCGCCAGCTTTAGTGAAGTCTCGAGCCTTGATGCTCTCAATCGCAATCTGGCGAATGCAGAGAATATATTCCCTACTGAACGCAGCTTCGTCATCATCATCTTCTTCGTCTTCTTCTTCTTCTTCTGGTTTGTCGTCTCCACCAGCGGCAACCTCCAGACTTCTTAGTTCATCCTCGTCATCTGGAGCTGGAGGGTTGCTTCTGACTGGCGAAAAACAAGTTTCTGGAGGTGACAGGTTGTGGAACGAAGTGTTCACTTGCGGAAGCAGCTGTGGAGTCATGGATCCGTTTCGAGTTCGACCATCAACGATGAATCGCTCTATTCTTTCTCGTTGAAACGATGAAAGATGACCTGGCCCACTGAAGCCGGCGGACGATGAGGGTTTCCAGGTTCTTTCGCTGCAGTCTCCTCGTGATGTGCCTGCAGACGAGCTTGCAGTAGAGTAAAAGCCATCTGCCGCTTTCGCCAGAGCTTTCAGGTTCCTAGAAAGTCTTGCGTCGGATAGGCGACTGAAGCTGTGCGTAAACACTTCGGATGGCTTTGCCGATATTTCATGAGCTCGGTCAATAGACTGCCTCAATCTGAATAATTCGTCCATGATCAGAGTGTGGGACATCTTGCTCTTGAGAGATAGCGACCTGTGACTTGACGGATTAGTTGGCCAGGTTCAACAAGAGGCGACTTTTACTAGCTTCTAGAAGGGGATAGTTCGACATATTGACGGTTATACTGACACAGTGATGGTATGAAATATCGTCTGCAAAGCCCCGTTGGACTTGTGAATTTTCTCTTGGAATGCCACTAGTTCATTGCCATGGACTGAGAGGTCGAACATGGCCTTGATCTTCCATCCAAGAGCTCGAGAGCCTGCCGTCTTCTTGACCTTCTCGATGAGCATCTTCAAGTCGTTCAGAGTGGTCTGACAGTCTGCAAGCGCGATGTCGCTTTGCTGCAGCAAGTCTTCTTCAACCTTTGCAAGGTCGTAGGACCGGCAATCTTTCAAGGCCCCTTCTACTGCTTCTAGCAGATTCGTCAGGTTCTTGAGCTCCTCGCAGAGCCTAGTGATTCTGGCATCCACCGTCTTCAGACCATGAATGAAGCCATGCAAGGACTTTGTGAGCTACAACATTCGAAACGCACCCCGTCAGCCTATGTCTTGAACTTGGACTTTAGAATCAACTCACGATACCCGATGCCTCGATCAGGGTGATGATCGAAGCTGTGACAGACAGCGGATCCATGTTCACGTTGCGGAAGTCACTGGCAGACGCAAGTTGGCTTGGTGAACCTGTCACTGAGAGCAAAAGAACCAAAGATTCATATTCAGGAAGGATTTACACGTAGTATATCGCTCAGCAACATTACGGGCCTCTTTCATCGTGCGACTCTGGAAGACGCGGAGTATGCCTTCGACTCTGCCTGAACGCCCCAAGGGGAGAGAGTCGTCACGGGAAATGCAAGAGCCGAAAACCATGCCGCAGGCTTTGAAATACCTCGCATGCAAGGTGAATGACTCAAATGCCAGTCGCGAAATATTTCAAAATTTCAAGGCAGAAATGAAAGGATCTTTGGAAAGGCAATCGGATGCCTCGAAATACACAACCAATGATTTCTGTTGCAGGCGCCACATAGGGCGACGTAAGGCTAGAAGTGGCGCATCGGACTCTCTCTGCATACTTACTTTGTACACGGCCAAGAGTCTTCGGTGTGACGGACGCCGCGAGCCAGCATTCTGACCTACTGAAGTTACCAGAGCGGCCCCCATATTGCAACCCAGAAGCGTCTCTCGTCCCCTGGTTGTTGCTATCGTTGTGTCGCAACACGGCTGAACCGGAGGTTGCGGGCGCATCCTTAGTACTTATAAACCTGCAAGTCTACAAGCACTGCGCATGAGTTTCGTATTACTTATTACACTTGCCAGCCTCAGAGCCTGGAAGGATTCTCTTCACGCCTGAGCTGCCTTGGGTGTGCGTCAGAATGGTGGTCACGCCGCCCCGGCGAGGCCGACGATGCTTTCGGGCCCGGATAAGCCCCATCCCGTCGGCCTTTCTCTGCCTAGAGTCGCGGAGAAGATTCTTGACAATGCAATTTCTTACCAGAGTACGATGAAGACATTCTCAAAACGTTCTGTAACCTTTGCCCGCGGCAATATAGCACTTAGGTTACACCAGGGCAGTTAATGATAGCCCGGAAGACGGCGTTGCAGGCTTTGAGAGACAGGCAGAGTTGTACAGTCCAAGAATCGAACACGGTCACTTGAGATGATTAACGCACCGATACTCATGACTTCATTATGCTCGGGTCGGAGCATGAAGCTAGTGATGGGAGAAACCCGAATACTGGTAGAAAAACAGCAGCATCCCGCCATCATACCACCAAAATCTAACCCTGCCATCTTCTGTACACATCGAACTGCTGGTGCATACGCTCTTCCTGTCCAGGAGTGAACTCAGTCGTGCTAGATCAACAGTCAGTATCTTCAACTCCAATCGGAGAGCCTCAATCACCGCATATTCACTCACCAAGTGTCATCCGAGTAATCCATAAAGTTGTGGATGGGATCCAAACCAGGCGAATCAGGGCAAGAGTCCCGTCCGACAGGGCACCCCGAGCTCCCACCAGCTTGCGCAGGCGTATCGGCAACCTGATCATTAATCCCCTCACAGAAACGCCCATGGAACGTGTGAAGCAGACCAAACCAGTGCCCGACCTCATGAACTGCAACATGCCCCTTTCGCGGTGTCGTGTCGTTGCCGCTGCGGGGTGTCATGCCAGGCATGGAGTCGCCGTTGACCCAGCATCCATCAGTATAGAACTGCTGGCTGCCCTCCTGCACGACACCCGCGAGCGCGCACTGCCCGCCAAGGCTGACGCCCAGGTCCGAGAAGAAGTAGACGTTGAGCGCATCGTAGCCCCCGCGGCGTGTGGCGGTGCGCCAGGCGACGTAGCCTTCAAAGTCGGGGATGCCGATGCCGGATTCCTCGTAGAAGCCCTTGCCGAGGACGTCATCTACGATGCGCGAGACGTTGACGAGGTTCAGCTCGAAGCCGTGCTTGAGGTAGGTTGAGTGCAGGACCTCAAACTTTTGGGATTCGGTCAGTATTTGCTTCTGGCGAGAGCGTCAGCAGGTCTTACCTGGGCATCGACAACTGCGTCGGTGATCCTGTCCTTGTTGGCCACGGTGCTGGTGACGTGAAAGTACACGTCGACCGGCTTGGACTCTTGACGCTTTACGTAGGCTGGGAGCGCAATGGTCGGCGTCTCAATAGCGGCTAAGTCATCGTTGAAGCATCGGAGCGACCCGAGAACCGACGATGCTCCAAAGGAAAGCAGCAGCGCTGCGGCGGCACGCGAAATCATCCTATCGAAAGTCGGTGGAAATTGGCGATGCGGTTCGTGCAGAGGAGCGACACCCTAGAAAGATCTCCACGATTCCCCAGACCCGTCATCGCTACCTGCCTTACCTCTTTATACATAGGGCATTCCCATCAAGAAGGGAAATGACGGCAACGGGCCAAGACAAGACGTCCAACACTGGAGGAGTCCATCGTGAACACGAGGCCTTGGAAGCTTGGCGGACAAGCTTAAATCGCGAGAAAGGTCGACCACTCCACTGCCAGGGCGACGTTATGATCCCCAGGACAGCAAGGATCTCCAGTGAACTGCCGAAATGAGCAACGCCGCCCGAGTCAACGCGCATGAGAACCGCATCGACTCTCGTATTAATTCTCGTGCGCGCAATTGGGGATGGCGATATGTGGTCAGTTGAGAAATAGACGAGACGGGAAATGGCAATTGGAGGTGTAATTCTCAATTATGCGTTCCAATGATTAGAAGAACTGTCCAGCGCTGTAACCATGGTAATCCTGTCACCGCGGAAACTCAATTGATGTCTAAATTTGGCCTCTTGCTGAACCTTTCCGAGCTTCCTCTTTCGATCGCGTTTCCACTGTGCCGCTCTCGCTTGTAGCGTCCAAGTCGCCAAGAGATCGAGTCCTCGAAGTTACATTAAGCACATCAATCCTCCTATTCATACTTAGGTATCCGTAGTCGAGACGGTTTGAGCCTTGTTTGCGGGTCCGCGGATGCGGAGGAGACAGAGGGTGCTCGAACATGAGGTCCGCAACGGAACCGGACACGAACCGATGAAGCCATGCAATAGCACCGGATGTTCATGACGCCGTGATAGTCGGAATCGGGTGTGCGACTGAAGGAATACTTCTTACGGTGAAGGGTTCACAGCAAGGGAAGATCATGGCAGCTCTCAGGCCTTCAACGACAGTCATTTCACCCCACCCGAAGCCATGACGTGAACCTTCCATTAGCCCAGAGTCAACGTTTGAGGGGGCAATGGTCATCACTGGATGGCTTAAGACGCCGCGCCAACTAGCATTGGTTTGGAAACTCTTTTTAAAGGTGCTGTGCTAATTTCAGATGCCCATGAAGGGTGAGGTGACATATGTTTCTATGAACAATCCATACCAGGACATATCCAAATATATACGTGCGAACGGTACAGAAATGTGAAGAGAAGGCGATTATACATGAGTCTACTTAGGTATATACACTAAAGCCGGCCCCTTAACTCCGTGCTTGCTACGTCCGTCATCATCAACTAAGATTAAGCTGTATTTACTTCTTGCACAGGCGATCGGTCTGCTTGGTGAGCCAATCCTCCTGGCGGGCAATGTACCAGTCCTCACTGCCGACGGCGGTGGGGGCGTAGAAGACACCCCAGGGGTCAATCTTCTTCTTGAGAGCGTACAGCTTGGCGTAGTTGGAACCGAAGAAGGCCTGGCCGAAATCGGGCTCCATGACGTCGCCCTCGTTGCCGTAGCCACCACCGCCGGGGGTGATGTTGCGAAGACGGCCCATCCAGTCCTGGGTGATGCGGACGTTGGCGGTCTTAATCTCCTCCTGGGTAGCGGTAGCGCTCCAGCCGCCACCAATGATGGCGAACATGAGAGCCTCACGCCAGGCCGGGTTGGCAGAGCTGGCGGTGACGTCGGAGGGAGCAGCGGCGTTGATGTTGTACTGGATCAGCGCAGAGCCCTCGGTGATAATTCCCTTGAGGGTAGCGATAGTCTCGTTAAGGAGGGCGGGGTCCTCCCAGTTGGCCTTGGGAATGAGACGGTTAGCGGTACGGACGGTGTCGGTACCGACGCTCTCCATGGGGAAGTGGTTCTTCCAAGTGGCGTAGAAGTTGTCGTGCTCAAAGTACTCGGGCTCGACGCTGAAGCCAAGGGCAGCCCACTCGGTGAAGAGAGGCTCGACCATGGCCTTGAAGTCGGTCAGGTTCATGCCGGGAACCAACCAGGGGCGCATGCTCCAGAGGTAGGCACCGTTACCGGCGGGGAAGAGAGTCGAGTATCCGTAGGTCTTCTTGGCAGAGAAGTCGGGGAAGCGGCGCCAGTAAGCCTCCATGGCGGCCCAGAAGACGGTGGAAGAGATGTTCTTCTCGGCGGTGTTGAGGCTCCAGGTAAGACCGGCAAACTGAGTCTTGGGGTAGACTCGGACGGTCATGGAGGTGACGACACCCCAAGTGGCACCACCGCCACCACGGACGGCCCAGAAGAGCTCGCTGTTGGTCTTGTCATCAGCAGTGATGTGGCGACCATCGGGGGTGACAATGTCAACGCTGAGGACCTGATCGGAACCAAGACCGGCGACGGGGCTCATGGGGGAGTGACCACCACCGGCAATGTAGCCACCGGTGACACCGACACTGCGGCACTCGCCGCCAACGGCGGTGTAGCCCTCGTTGTTGGCAGCCTCGTACAGCTCAGAGACCTGGACACCGGCACCGAGCTTGAAGGCAGGGCCCTCGTAGCCACCGGCAGACTTGTAGTTCTTGATGAACTTGAGACCCTTGAGGTTGTGGGTCCAGATGGACAGAGAACCGGCACCGGTGTTCTTGCCCAAGAAATCGTGACCAGTGTTGCGGACAACAAGACGCAGGTTAAGGGTGCGAGCAAAGTTGACGGCAAGCTGGATCTGGGCTACGTTGGTGGCCTTGACGGAGTAGAGGGGGAAGCCGCCAATCTCGCAAGTGCGGTTGTTGGCGGCGTTCTGGGGCTGGCAAGTAGAGCCCTGGTAGAGAGGGGACATAACCGAAGTAGGGTCCTCATCGCTTTTGGATGTTAGTCTGAGGTGCTGGTATCAGTCAAGGCAAGACAACTTACTGAGTGTCGGAGTTGGTCCAGTTGTCGAGGAGGTACTGGCACTTCTCGGCATCGTAGTGCTCACCAGCGTAGCAAGCAGCTCCGAGGGGAACGGTCTTGATGAGGGAGTTGCCAGTCAAGAGGTTGAAGACCTTCCATACGGGCTCGGAAGGGTAGAAGAAGTCGCCGGGGAAGAGCTTGCACTTGTTGTTGGGCTCAGTGCGCTTCTCGATGTTCGAGGCGTCAGCGAACGTAAAGAGCGAAATGTTGCTGAGCTCGAGCTGAGTGAGGTTGGCCAGCACGGCATCAGTCAACTGGATGGTCTCCTCGGGGATGTCTGCCTCGGGGAACTCCTCGGCGGCGGGGGCAACAGTGGCCTCGTTGGCATCTGCAAAACGTGGTCAGCATGGGTGGTGATGGAATCGGCAGAGGATGACTCTGGGAGAGGAGGCAGCTTACCGATGGTCTCACCATCGACGACGAGCCTCTGGGCTCCGACGAAGTTGGCCAGCGGCATGGCCGCGGCGAGCAACAGAGCTCTTCCGAGAGAAGGCATCTTGACAAGAAGGGTAATCTGCTTGTCGAAGAGGATTAAGGATCCTTGCAAGTTGGATGCAAGTGGGATGAGGAGAGGGACAAGAAAAAGAGTTCACGATGGACGTGCTCCTCATCTGGAGATATATACGTCCACGATCATCAACGGCCTCGGACCATTCCATGTCCTGTCAGTTCTCTCCCCGAGTCTCCCCCCACACGTGGCTACATGCAGCATTTGCAAGCTATTGGTTATCAGCCGCATGATGCCTCCCAGGTTGCCGGGATCCACGTTATTGCCACGAGGAACATGGCCTTGGCTACCCGATGCGCATCTTATGTCCGTATAGGCAAAATGAAGACTCCATCGCCAGGAGCTGCTATCAAAGAAGCGGCACCTGGAAGGACCAAAAAGCAGGATGATCATCCTCGAGGGGTGGTTTCCCACTCCCAGCCGAGCCGATGGAGAATGGCATTTCTGCTTCCTTGGGGCTTCGCAATGGCCTAGCAGGGATGCCTGTATACGAAGACTTGGCAGGCCAGGGTTTGGGCGAAATTAATTACTGTCTAGCCCCTAAGTTACCCCCAACGTCTTCCTAGCAAACCGCCGTTTCCGTCGACACACAGCGGCATATTCACGGCACTCGCGGCAGTTTGCTGCGGGTTGGTTCAGTAGCCGTACCTGGAGCCGCGCTGTAGAAGTTGGGCTTTATTTTGCGGAGGCCATCCTTTTTTCAACGTCTGTGGTTCGTTTAGATATGAGATGAAACTACCTTACTACACACAACTCCAACTCCAAAAGTTGCAAACTCGTCAAGACTATCAGAGCTCCTCCCGCAACTGCAACGTAGCAGCCGAAAAGTCCAATGTCGGAGTGGAATCCAAATATTCTTCAATGGCATTGGCTGCCTACTGGCCCCTCCTCGGGGCACAATGTCCCGCCGGTCCTGCATCATCTCAGGGGCACTAGCTTATTCCCTTGCCACTTTGCCAAGCCGCCTATTTTGACACCCACGTCAAAGAGAAGCCGAACGCAGGGAGGTTTTTTTTGAACCTGGAAGCGAGTGCTCTGGAGCTTCTTATCGTTCTAGAATGCACTTGTGAAGTCAAAATCACGCACTGAGGGCCCCTCATCGATACCAAGACTCTCGGGATAGACCCGATCAGAGTAATATCGTCAGCAACCGTGCGCCTTTGACAACGACTCGAACACTTCATTTGATCTATGAGCAGCCCAAATTGGTCTCCCGGGCCCCGACAATGATCACACCGAGCGACCATACTGCCCACCGGCCGTTTGGAAAATCTGCGCCGCTCAAGGCAGTCGAACGGGTGGGAACTCGGAGGATTTCTGCGCCGCCCGTCTGCCTTCTTCAACGGAACGCCACGGTTGCTAGTCAGGCTCGGCGCAGCTAGGATCCATTTTCCTGTTCTTTGCAGCGATACACACCCCAACCGTAGACGTACGCATTTCTAGTCACTGACTCTCTCTTGCCTGTGTGCCTGTAAACTTTGTTGGTTCAGGTTGGGAACTGGTTGGTCGAACTTGGCCCTTTTGTCTGCCCTCTCTTCATCTCAAACCACTCTGAGTAACTTTCTGAACCCTGCCCACTGCAGATTTCGGATCCCTCCAGACAATGCGTGTCTTGGAATGTGCTGGCATACTTCATTGGTCCGGGGAAGTGAGGCGCTCTGCATAACAAGCGAATATGGGGAATGGAAGGGCGATCCTTCTTGATCAGAGATGATGAAGGGAGAGACCGAAGAGGGGATCCTTCCGCGGGTCAGCCGAAAACTTTGACTTGCTCAGCTCCTCTGGGCGGCAGGCTGTTGGATCCGTGTGTCGAGATCTGCCATTTGGTGCTGGTTGGCTAATATAGAGGAAGGTCGTATTTCGTCTTGGTGCTATTAATCCGCACGAAACGAGAAAGTCTTGGGCAGCAAAAAGATTTCGGTACAGAGTATAGAACATTAAAGGATTTCCCGATTCCCATAAGGCTGCGATGGGACCTGTTGCCTCTTCTCCGGATCTCCTCTTCCACTGGTGATCTTAGTCCCAGTCGCTCCGTCCCGACTACCGCAAACCTTTAGTCCGAGTCTTTTGCGCGTTCTCGCAACTAATCGACCTTTCCGAAGCGGATACCGTCACAGATCTGGCCGAGATGCCATTTCATCTACTACCTCGAGGCGCGCCGCCGCATCCCGATGTTTTGACGATACCCACACCTCCACTTCAGGAGACTGCAATCATCATCATTTTCTTCTTTCCAGCTCTATCGGTTTGCACGTTTGGACTGCGGGCGTATGGTCGGATAAGCACGCGTCAATGGGGACTAGGTATGGTGTCAGCATGAATTCGTTATTGCTTGAGGCTTACAATAAACCATTAGATGATTGGCTATGTGGCCTAGCCTTGGTACGAGCCTCACCCTATATTTCCCTATGGGACATATGGAGATAATCTTGGTTGAGGATGTAGCTAATGCTTAAACAGCTATTTGCAGTCTTAATGACACCTCCTCTGTTCATGTGTAAGTGGAACGTAGTTAAAGGACTGGCGGCCTAGCTAGTAAGCTGACACTTTCGGAACTCAGTTGTCAAACTAAATTATTTCGGATGGAGAGCTGTAAATGTCCCCGAGGATTTCGACAACAAGGCCGGGTTGTGGTGGAACTTCTTGGTACAGATGGCCTACAATCCAGTGCTCGCTTTGGTCAAAGCATCGGTATTGGTATTTCTACTCCGACTAGGTGGCCAGAAGCGAGGCGTTCGAACCGCAATCATCGGACTCAACATTTTCAACGCATGCCACGCAGTTGCTGTATTCTTTACCGCCTTATTCCAATGCCTACCGATGGAGGCCAACTGGGACTTTTCTCTGCGAGGCCAGCCGGGCACAAAATGCGTCGACAACTCGTTTCACGTCATTGCATCTTGTATCACGATCGTCTCGGACCTCCTGGTACTCGCCTTGCCCTTTTGGATATTTCTCGGGCTCAAAATGCCCTTGGCGGCCAAAATGGCAGTCATTGGGGTTTTCCTGATGGGTCTTGTGTAAGTGAAATTTCCAAGTGACAATAACCCTTGGTCAAAGCTAATTGATTTCGGATTAATAGAGTTACGGTTGTTGCTGTCATCCGAGTCATCCAGATCTACAAGCTATTCTTCGTCCCATCACCTCCAGGAACCGATCACTTCCACAACATTGGCCTTGTGAGCTCTACCGTTGAGGTCAATCTGGCTATTTTCTGTGCCTGCATTCCTGCATTGCGCCCTCTATTCCGCCGATGGATGCCGAAGCTGTTCGGCGGTACGACCAAGAAGACGACCGGTAAAGGATATTACGGGAAATACGCGACCGGCTCATTGCGGAATCCAACCGGGGTGCAAGAGAGCAACGATATTACACTCAAAGAGATGCGCTCAAGAGCGCACTGCACGGAAATACGCAGTGTCTCTCCATCGGGTTCTGAAGAGGAAATCATGACATACAACGGAATTGTCAGAACCACAAACGTCAACGTTCAGTACGAATCCAACACCAGCGTAAACGACTCGGAATCTCGACACTCAAGCGAGTATAAAACGATCGACAAACCAACGAAGGGGGCAGCTTTCTGAGCTGGAGACGATGCTTGAAACTTTAATCGGTGTTCTCGGGCGTTGTGGATCGCGGGACATCCCGCCAGGGTTTCAATAATACCACTTGTTGGATCTGCCGGGTGCGAGCAAGTAAGCATTTACTAGTCCGCACCATACACGGCTGCAGTTCGCTGCCATTTTTTGCACGTTTATACTAAATACCTTGGATACCCTTCTATAATTTCAATTTGGTTTACTGTTGATCTGCTGAGATTCAAGACGCCATCGATGATCGTGTGATCTTGCCTATCAGTGGACCTGAATCTCTCGGCGGTCTACTACGCAAGAACCTGACTGAATCAGAGTGCGTGAGTGCATATTATGAGTTCGTTCTCCCTTGCCAAAGAGGTACGGAGCCCGACTCCATTCCCTCCCGACTACAACTCTAATTCTCGACTCCTCAGTGGTTGTGCCCTTGCCCATCCTGGGTTTTCTTATTAGGTCGAAACTCAACTACATGATGCGGGCTTGGCGTCGGTGCCTGCGAACGCTTAGTGGAGAGATTGGTGCAGGGTCTACGCGTTGTCTCCATCCTTTGCGATCTCCTTATGTGCAGTCAGCGATTTTATGAAAACTTACAAAGTGTATTTGGGTAGCACTGAGCCCGCCGGCAGGGCTAGGAGCTACATAGTCCCGGCAGAAGGGTTTCCAACGAAGGTTTCAATAACACTAGAGAAGACGTGATAGAAGCGGACTGGCACACTAGCTGAGATTTGAGGCGTCCTCAGCAAGAAGTCTTCACCTGAATCGTAGTCTCTGGCTATTCACCTTCCCACAATGGAGCGATTTTCTTCTCGTCAAGAAAGACGCGCTTTCGGCCCCATCCCGCCCAACTTAGAGAGAATGAGGCGATGGAGATTCCGCAAGTGAGACTCCTTCTGGCAGTGATTGACATGGACATGGACAAGAGGACCTTGTCAAGTGTCGGCCCAAGGAATTAGCCAATTTTGACAGGCAATGACAGCCCGCGACGGGCCCAGGACCCCGACACTAGAAGAGCCGGCCCCGCTGTGGTCTGACACGACTAGCGGTGCAGAGAACCTAGATCCTGGGATTGTGGGAAATGGAACTTCCCTGCCTGCCGAATGTTCTTCGGACTGGACACCCATTTCCTGCTGCCCAGGTGGGCGGGCGCCGACGTGGGCAGACGCTCGGTGCCATTGGGCCTTGGAGAAAGAAGGGATACCACGACGGGGTCGACGGAGACCAGGGTAATCTTAACCTTGTTCAGACGAACGATTCCGTGCGGAAACTTGACAGGTTGGCCGTGATGGTTCGGGCGCCCGCATCTCGCGGTTGCAATGTTGCATGAACTGCTGAAACCTGCCAGTACTAACACGACCAAACGTCCGGAAGCCTATTGGGCTTCACAAGCATCCAGCCAAAGAGACAACAGCATGCGTAGTCCGCCCCGGTGTGCAGTTGCCGAAATTCAAACCTGCAGTTGGGGATCGATGGTCTCCGTTTTCCGTACAACTTGCAAGGTTGGGATGCAGGCCAAGGCCGCTGATCTTTCCCTCTGTTCCCTTCCCGCGGATTCGTGGGGATCGGTGCAAAAACTTCAAACTTGACCGCTGAATGGCTTTTGCATTTGCGATGTCTAGAAGCACAGGACTCAGGGCAGATCAGAATGCGGAGCGAATAGGCTTTGGTTGATCTTTGCTTGGCTTGATCAGCGTATCAAGGGCATCGAACCGAAGCTTTGGTTAGGTGATCCGGGATACATGGGCTTTATTCATAGATTTCTAACTGAAAAGTCTATCCCCGCACAATTGAGATCTTGCACGGCCATGACTGGTAGAATTCAAGGGCCTGGAGTCGCGTTGGCTGATGGATCCCCAATTACCTTCCCGCGAGCGAGATAGAGAATTTCTGCATTTTCCAGCTCGTCATAGTCTAGCAAAAGACAAAAAAAAAAATAAAAACGTTTGATGATAAACGGGGCCCGTGAAGCAGACAAGCCTACGGGTAATAGGTGTGCCATCCATGCTGTGCAGATGTTTTACGATACAGGACCTTTCCCATATCAGTACCGACGATCAACTTCAAGGACCGTCTCTCTGACGCCCATATGAGTCTCTAATGTACGAGAGAAATTTGACGTTGAGCAATCTAGATCTCAAACGTACTTCTGCATGCAGGCTTGGACGTGATCATAGTCCATAGAAAAACAGCACCGTTGTTTCCAGTCTCTAGAGCAGTAATCTCCACATGATGATTCGCTATTATGTCTTGTCGTGCGGCTGAAAATTCTCAAGAAGCTCCCAGAATCATACAAGACGCCAGAAGATGTCTCACTCGTACTTGAGCCAAAGAGATGGCATGATTGCTACCTATCATATTTAGGTGAACGTTTCTGGGTCCTTTTTCTCAATTTTCACTGCATACCACCTTGTTGGTCAAGATATGTATGAAATAACCGCAAACGCAAAATGGCTGTCAGTCAAGTTTGTTTTGCTTGGTGTCTGCTGTTGTGGCGCCTCGAAGATCTCCGGATGCAGGCAAGTTGAACCGCCACATTCCTCTCAATCAGTATCGACTGATGATCTCGCGGGACCAGCCGAAAGCTACCGAGTTTGCGCATTCCTGCGATATTGTTTTGATGGTTTCATGTCTGTTCTAGCAATAAGCCTACAATCTTTGCCACGTGGAAGGGGAGGTGTTGGAAATTTAAGAGGACCGGTCCCCTCGAGGGAAAGTCAACCATCAATACCACCAGTGCTTGTAATTTTGGTACCTACTCTGATCACAATGCGTCCTCTTGCTTTAGTATCGACTTTACTCACTGCTCTTGCAGCGGTGACCAGTGGGTCATTTCTATCTCCTAGAAGAGAGATAGCATTGTGTCTCTGCGAAGATGAAGCATGGGATATCACAAGACGGTGGCTCAGCGTTTTCTCAACCCCTGGCGTATCTAGCAAGGCGGAGCTGGCGACGATCGTTTCTCAGAATCTCACGAGCTACGACGACGCATTTGGTCCTCCAACTATCGGCATCGATGGACTCTGGGCCGCCCTGACAGCACCTGGCAACGCCCCAACAGCCAATGTGACGCAGACGCCCAATTTCATCCTACATACTTGCGTCCAGATTGCGTACAACTGGCAGTACACCGCTGTTACAACTGTATATAACTCGTGAGTCTGACGCTTATGATCCAAGGGGAAAATAGAATGTTAATATTGCTTCAAGAACGGTACCGGTTGGAACTCCAGTTGCATTTACTGGGAATGATATCATCCGAATTGATCTGGCGACGAGACTGATATCTAATGCCACTTCCGTTGGAAATTGGATTGTACTTGCCCAACAACTGGGAGAATCATGTACTGTTTAATGGAATCCTTCTAATCTCTGTCAAATGGCCCTTATTACATCTATATCTCGGGCCTAGTTCCGTTACACTAAATGCCTACTTACCTGAAGTAGCTTCAATCTTGCAAAGCAACATGGAACGACCCTTTCATCTAATCAGACCCTAACACACTCCTGATTATCTAAGATATACGCATGTCGTGAATGGAAACTAGGCTAAGTTCCGAGGAAGTGATGTTATTCATTGGCACCGAATGATCCAGGATTGCCTTGATTCACCAACACCGAGTTGCTGATGTATGAACTAAACCAAGTATAAAGATTTAGTTCATGGCCACACTCATGCGGCCTTAAGAAAGGGCATCAATCACTTCTAATCCAACGAGAACAATGAGCGCACGACCACCTAATTACCCTGGCCTAGGCCACGAGAATGATGATACCGCCCGTCGTCCTCTTCAACACCGCCAGCCTGACGATCCACCTCCTGCCTATGAAGAAATTCAGACCTCTCCTACCCAAGATGAGTCTCAGCAAACCCCAACCATAGAATCGGTGACATTCGGCTTATCAACATGGCCGGATAGCGCAGCACCATACATGGCACTTAGCAAACACAGGCCGTCAAACCCGGAGAGGAAGAGAATGGACATGGTTTATAAGATTCGCTACGGCAAGAAGATGTGCGAGTTCATCCTTTACTGGTACCCGCCTCCAGTCTCACGGTTTCCGGACAGCCGCAGAAGACGGGCAGAACAAAGATATCTAGAGCACTTCGAAGACCTGTGGATGGAGTCTCCGACCCCTGAGGCTTCCCCCCACTTCCTCCCAGTGCTCAGGCAGCTTGACGCGGCGATTGTTCACACCATGATGTCGCAAGAAATCCACCTGGAACAGTCAGATAGGCCCTGGAAGTGCCAGATCATTGACCAATTTGAAGACCCACACCCCACAATGTATGCGATGGTATGGACCGAGGGGTGGGCTGACTATCGTCACCGGGAGGTTCTGGCGGTTGCAGTATACAACGGGTCGGACGTCCATGTCATCCACGAGGACAGGCCTGGTCAGTGAGGCCAACACATAGTATGGGTAGGTGAGACACAACAAATTACTACCAGTAGTGATCCACAGTCTAAGGCAGTTCAATAGAAAGCGTGGCAGAGTATTACAAAGCTGCAAGGAACTCTGCCCATCCGAGCCCAAACCCCAAGGTCTCCAGCCGTATCAAGTTCGAACATGACCATTGAACGTAGATCAAAGCTGAGAGGTGATGAATGGATCCGTAAGAAGATTGCTTGTATATATAATCGATAAACCGTAACGCCATATACGCTGAGTATGCTACTTGATGCAATTCTCATTACCTGGCTAGACCTGCCCATGCCCCCTGATATTAAACCCTCAACTCCCTGCATACCGCCTCAGAAGATGGGCGAGTCAGTCTCATCTACGATCTGAACCTTGATGCTGCCGTTCCTGTAGTCTGACGCGAGAGTAAGGGCGTCGACGGCCTTCTCGAGAGGGAAAGTGTGAGAAATGAGGCTCTTGAGGTCGAGGATGCCGCTGCTCAGGCATGCGATGCCGGCGGGCCATGTGTCGCGGTATCTGTTGATGAACTCAAGCTTGATCTAGAGAAATCCTGTTAGTCCTCGGCTCTGGTTAGTCTGTATGCATGTCGACCTACCTCGGCAAGAGAAATGTGCATAAATGGCAAGTTGTTCATAATCTCCCTTCCAACACCAATAACCATTACCGTACCACCGCGACGAACAGTGAAAGCGGCAGTGCAGATACTACTCTCGACACCAGTGCACTCAAGCACCGTTCTGGGAGCGCTGTACTCGTCGTCGCCAAACAGCTTGCGAATAGCCTTGCCGTTGCCCTCGTTGCCGAGCGCGGGGTCAATCTTGTACGTAATGACACTCGGAACCAACGTCTTGGCGAAGGCGAGGCGGGAGGGCTCGATATCTGTGATGACGAGCGGGTGAGCGCCTGAGGCCCGGGCCGCGGCGAGGGTGACGAGGCCGATAGGGCCTGCACCGCATACGACAGCGCCGACGCCGAGGGAGAGGCCTGCGGTGCGGATACCGTGCATACCGACGCTCAGGGGTTCGAGGAGAGCGCCCTCGGCGTAGGAGATGTTGTCGGGAAGCCTATACAGAGTCCGGTGTTAGGTACATATCTACATATATCCAATTGAGATACTCTCAGAGGGTAAGCTCGACTTACTTGTGAAGCCACTTGGCCGGGTGGCACTTGTATCGCTGAATCGTGCCGTGGTATGGGTAAACACCAGAGAACTGAACATCTTCGCAGAGGTTGTACCGTCCGTCGACGCAGAGGAAGCATTCACCGCAGGGCACGCCAGGTTCGATCGCGACGCGGTCGCCCGCTTTGAGGTTCTTGATGCCTTCACCGACGCGAATAACGACGCCTGCTGCTTCGTGACCGATGATGCAGTCTCCCTCGAATACAAGCGTTCCGATGCGGCCCGTCTTCCAGAAGTGGATGTCAGACCTGCAGAACGTTCCAAAAGTCAGCCCCGAACTTCAAATATCCTTTCGTAGAGGGAACCTGCGCTCCAGTCGTACTAAGGCGGGTTGCGCGTTCGACAAATATGAACGTGACCAGCGAAACTTACCCGCATACTCCGGTAGCCTTGACGTGGACCAATGCCTCTCCCGCCTTTGGTGCGAGAACGGGCGCCTCCTCTGCCTTGAGCTGATGATCGGCTGTGACTACAAGCGAAGGATTTGGCAGCGGCGCCTGGATGGTTTCTTGGTCGGCACTGACGGTGGTAGGCTCGGGGTGATGGTGGTGGTTGTGTTGCTTCAACTCTGTTACAACGACGACGCCATTAGACTTTGTGGGCGCAATGCCATTGACAGGCGCCTCTGGCGATATCGTGGTAGCGACCATCTTGCAGGTGGTTGGCGTCCGGGAATAAAACGAAAGGGAGATGACAGTGACTTGGAGAAACGACTGCTTTTTCAAGTAGATGGACAGCTGCTAGCCAGGTCGAAACGATGTAATTGGGATCAACACGGAAGAGAGAAACAAATGTTCAAGGATAGTCGCTGGAAGAAACGTGATGTGAAAGGGGAAACGGCTGGAAATCTAATCTGACAAGAATCGTCGTGGAGGCGCTCCTATCCTATAGACCGCCATGCGTCCCGTCCCGTCAAACAATTATTATTTTTTCAACGTCGTGTGATACCCTTCTGCCGGTAACAATGTCCGAATTTCCAACAGCTCAACATAGCTAAGGGTCTGGGCAACATGCGGGGAACCGACCGAGCGACTAAGGATGCCTTTTCTGTCGCGCCTTCGTCAAGTCGTTGCCTGATTGGGATATGTTAAGCACCACCCGGCAGTTCTAGATCATTGCGCCGGGGAACATGCCGGCTGCGTATAGTTCGTCCAGATGATTGGGTCTGGATCATGGGAAGCGGTTCGTTTTGTCACCCCCGAAGCCGCCGAGTTCCGAGCCGTCATCGATGCGGGTTCGGCGAAAGACAGCACGGTCAATTCGACGTAATCGGGGAATAATCAGAGCCTTAGTACTTGAAGATGGCAAGCAAGTGCACTCTTGTTGTTGGAATAGATACTTGTCACTCATCCGAAACAGGCGCAAGAAAATACGAATGAGGTCGTGATAGTTGGGAAAATTGTTTTCATTAATTCGTAGCAGGTTCTATGACTACCAAGCCCGTCAAGGTTGTTTTTATCCAAATCCATACATCACCACAACGCTCATCTCAGACTTCGCTTATGCGAAGATGCGCAGAGGGCGCTGGGGCAGGTAGAAACCAGGGTCGTTGAAGCGGAGACCACGGTCAAGGTCAGAGATGGACTCGATCTCCTCGGCCGTCAAATCGAAGCCGTTAACCTCGAGGTTCTGCTTCAGGCGGTGCTGGCTGTTGCTCTTGGGAATAACAGCGACGCCGCGCTGGGTAGCCCAGCGCAGCAGGACCTGCGCGGGGGTAACCTTGTACTTGTCCGCGATCGCCTTAATGGCATCGACCTCGAAGAGGCCCTGGGCACCGGTGGCGCGCTTGTTGGAGATCTCGAGGAAGGACTGGGGGCCAAAGGAGGAGTAGGCCGTGACGGCAATCTTGTTCTCCTGGGCCATGGAGATGAGGTCGGGCTGAACGAGGTACGGGTGGTGCTCGATCTGCAGGGCGGAGATGGGGTGGCGGGCGTAGGACTGGATGTCGTACAGGGACTGAGCCTGGAAGTTGGAGACGCCGATGGACTTTGCGATGCCCTCGTCTGCGATCTGCTCCATGCACTCCCAGGTCTCGCGAATGGGGACGTTGTCGGGCTCGACGATGGTCTGCGCGGCGTCCATCCACCAGCACTTTGTGTCTCCGAGTCAGCAAATCTTTGGTTAGAATGATGGCGACATTCATGAACTTACGGGGTACTCGAGCTTGGAGGGCTCAATGTACTTGAGGGCAACGGGGAAGTGAATGAGGAACAGGTCAATGTAGCCCAGGCCCCAGGTCTCGTTCTGCTTCTTCGCCATGGCGACGGCATGCTCCTTGCGGTGGTAGTTGTTCCACAGCTTGGTGGTGATGAAGATGTCTTCACGCTTCACCAAGCCGTCGGCGATGGCGCGGCGAACACCCTCACCGGCCTCCTTCTCATTCTGATAGTCGTAGGCGCCGTCGAAGAGGCGGTAACCGGTCTTGATAGCCTAATTGATTACAATCACGGGTTAGAAAACATGGTTACTCGTGTATAGAGCTGAGTGCTGAAATAAAACTCACGTTGTAGACGGTATCGGCGCAGGTCTCACGGGGAACCTTCCACAGACCGAAGCCTACGAGGGGCATCTCACGGCCGGAAGCGAGAGTGATGGTGTCCTTGCCCATTATGAAGATTTTACAAAGGGGGTATAGATACTAGAGTGACAGGAAGAGAAGTTGCGTGATGTATGAGATGAGTTTGCTCTAGAATGACGAGCTTTGAGTTCTAATATTCTCTGTGACAAGATTCTACTTTTTTTTTCTTGCGTTTAACCCCGCCCTCAGTCAAAAAGCGCACACAACCCCGCCTCCGTCAGTAGAGCGCCCATCCCTCCGGCTGTTCTTCTGAGCATCATCATGGAGGGGTTAAGAATGAGAGGCAAGGTGGTAGAGCTTACCGGATATGGCAATCTCAAGCACTGATGATTCAGAAAAGGGCATGTATCCCCGCGCTTAGCGTCCCCCGGTTTGACTCGTGTTCGACTGGGTGCCACGAGGGGTTAGAAGCCCGCTTAAGGAGACGAAGCCTACCTCATGGTTGAATGGGAATTGTGAGCCGAGTGTCTAGTCGTTATTAGCAAATAGACTCAAGAGAAGTACATCGATAGCATCGGAAGTTGTCCGGGCAGAGTAAATCTCAGAATTGAAGACTCGTCGCGTATTAACCGCACACTTACTGAATGTCGTCTCACTCGCCAAAGCATGAGAACCATCCCATCAGTGATCAAACCCCACGGATAATATCCACAAACAGCATTGTCCCTGCAAACGCTTATCCCGAACCGCACTCGCGTCAACTGAGCCCGACTTGTCGCCGTAACCCCGTCCTTCCCCTGTTCCACACGCACCAACTTTCTCCAGAGACTCCAGCAAAGCTCTTTCTTCCCCGTCCAAGCTCACAGAGTTCCTGGAGGCAAGCCCGTACCTCGGGAAACCCTCCACTATTTGTTGGGGACCTTTTCCGCCTTCCCAATCCGACAAGATTATCCCCCCCAGCCGCCGTTGTCCGTTCTTCAGCCATGGGCACACAACAAGCACCCCAAACATAGCAGCCGGTTGCGACAATGACGGATGATACGGATTCAGTATCAGCAAGCGGCTCTGGAGCAGGAGCAGGAGCAGGAGCAGGAGCAGGAGGTTCGAAACAGAGACACAAGAGGACGCGGACGGGGTGTATGAAATGTCGGGTCCGACGGCGCAAATGTAAGCCTCTCTCTCACTTTGTCCATGTCTCTTTTCTTATTGCTCGTAAATGTTGTCCAAGACCCACTGAGATGTTATCTCACCGAGCAGAGCTGGCATGACGTCGCATGACACTGCAGCTTAGCTATGTTTACTCGGTGACGCTTCATCGAGTTATTGTTGACACTCTTTATTGACCAAACGTAGGCGATGAAGGGAAGCCACGATGTCAGCGCTGCATCGACGGAAACTTTGAGTGCCACTACGGTCCCAGACTGACGTTCTTGAATAAGAATGCATTGACGGTGTCACCTTCGCCCAAGGTGCCCGATGCGACAACGCCAAAATACTCGCGCCTTCAGGTCCGTAAACAACTAGGAACCATCACCCGGCTTAGTGTTTCTCGACTTACACATAGATCTAGTTCGTAGGTGCCGGGTCGTCCAAACAAGCCGCCAAAGATCCGTCATTACATGCATCGTCTCCGCCGCGCGAGCAACACGGAGTCAACGGGAATATCGCAAACGATCTGAACCGCAACCACTCATCTCTACCGCCACCGCCGCCTTCGCAAACACCAACGCAAACGGTGATAACCTTCCACGTAGATACTCAACCCCCAGAACCATCGGCAGCGGCGGCGACTAAACCATCACCTCTCGAGCCGAGCCTCGCGACACTGAATCACGGCCGCCAGCACCCGCCGCTCGAGCAATGGCGGCCACCTCAGAGTCTGGGTAGCCTCGGGAGTCACGAGAGCCTCTCATCACCGGTGCGAAATCTCGATATTGCGGGGAAGCTGACGCGGCCATCACCAAATAATGACGCTGCCTACGAGACGGCCTTAAATGTCTTGCTGTCGCTCGGAAACGAAGGGCCAGCGGGGCTAGGTCAGTCGCCTGATCATGGCTCCGGGTCCTTTGCGGTTGGTGGTGGTGATAGTATTGGGGTGGTGAGCCCCGGAGAGATGATGTCGCTGTCGCCGAACTCAACGAGGGAGAGGAGAGGGTCTGGCGTGTCTGCGGCCGGCGGCATTTCGCAAGATCGCCTGCTGCAGCTGTTGCGTCACTTTAGGTACCAGGTCGCGCCATGGGTGAGTCCAACACCAAGCCTAGTGTGTATGAGGGTTTGGTCCTTGAATTGCTAATAATGATTGTTTCGCAGCTTGACTTGTGTGATATGGGACAAACCTTTGGTCTCTACGTTTCTCGCCTCGCCATCGAATCCGAAGCGGTTCTTCACTCGCTTCTTGCTGTTGCTGCAACGGCACAGCAGGCCGATCTGCGCATCGTATCCGGTGACGTCGAATACCTCAAGTCTCTGGCTGAGGCGAAACCTTTTCAGCTCAGCGGACCGGTCATCAACGACAGCGATCTGGTCCACTTGACTTTATCTACGGCATGCCGATTCATTTCCAACATCCCCAGCGGCTGGAATAGCCTGTCTAATAGCATAGATCACAACTTTTGGAACATGGCGCTGGCGGAAGCAACTCCAAAGACCGTTTCGATATTATCAGTATTGGTTCGACTAGGTACACTCACCGCTCCGACATCCCCTTCCTGATGTACGAATCACATCACAGCTAGTCAAAGACTAACAAAAAGCAGAACTTGCAGCCGCACTCGTAACCGGGGCCCCCATCTCGATCCCCGAACACCTATCCTACAACCCGCTCCCACAACAGTGGAACTCCTCCACCATCGCAGAGACAATCTTCCAATACACCATCGAACCCCTCCTCCTCTGCGCAAAAGTAATCAACTTCTGCTCAGGCAGCTTCTCACCACAGACCCCAGCCGATCTCGACCTCGGCGGCGGCGTCCCGCTCACGCCCGTCCACCGCTGGACGATGCTTAGCGACGCCCTCGGGTCCTGGTACACCAACCGGGCGCAGGAATTTCGCCCCATGGTGGAGATGGACGGGGGCGACGAGACGCTCTTCCCTGTAATCCTCTTCACTAATGGTGCCGCCGTTTTTGCGAACCAGCTGTATCATACAGCCATGTTGCTGTTGCTTCAAAACAAGCCGCGGACGTTGCAGGCGGCGACGGCGGCGGGTAAGAAGTCGTCGTCGTCGTCGTCCATGTCGCCGCTTTGGCATGCTCAGCGCGTCTGCGGGATCGCGCTGAACAATGACCGGAGAGATAGTTGGGATCTTTGCTTGGTTGCGTCGCTGTATCTGGCGGCGCAACGGATGACGTATGAGCCTCAGCAAAAGGCGATTTTGGGGTGCTTTGATCGTATCAAATCCACGACTGGATGGAACGTCGACGGGTTTTCGACGAAAGTTCGTGAGGATTGGGGGTTGATGTAAATAATCATGGTTTGTGGACGCGGGCACACCACGTTCCCCTCTAGCCAAGGTGACAACTACCACACAAGCAGTTGAAGTAATCATCATGATAATGAAGAATGAATCACCTAACCATATCAGCGATTCTGAGTTCCTTGCGGACCTTGTAACCCCAAGCGGCCTCGAGATCATCAATTCTCCAACACGTGCCCCATCCCGTCACAGCCTCAATGCTGCGGATGAGCTTCACGAGAAGAGCGTGCTCCGACTTGTGACTGAGAAGTCGACCTGCGACCCAAAGCGGCTGGATGGCGTTATTCAAGCAGCCCTGGTGCGGGTTCGCGAGCGATATACCGCAGATGCATTTCGCATGCCAGATGGCGGAGCCCGTAACACCACCCAGCTTAAGGTTCAGCGGCCGTGGCATGGACCCGAGCAAGAGCGTACAGGCCGTGTGATACAGCTGGTTCGAAGAGATGGCCGCCCAGTGCAGGAATAGAATCTGAGGGAACGGGCTGCTCTGGATGCTCTGGACGGGCAGCAGCTCTGGCGGCCGGTCGCGCGTCCAGGCTTGGAGGTCTTCCCAGAGGCGGATCCAGCGGTCGGTGAGCTCATCGGGGCTGCTGCAGCCGCTTGCGTCGCCGAGTTCAAAGTAGCGCGTCCTGTCGGCGACGAGCTCGCAGACTTTGGCGCAGAGGTAGACGGCGTAGTTGGCGTGCATGTCGGGGGTTCCAGACTGGTGGAAGAGCTCGCTTGCTTCGTTGTGTGAAGCGCCGCTGGGGAGCCATTTTGAGGGGGTGAGAAGGGTGCTTTCTGTTCCATCCGAAATGAGGGCACCGCATAGGTCTGATGGGTGTATTAGCAAGAGGATCCGTTCGTAGAAAAAGGATTCAAGGAATCAGAACACACCCATTCGCGCGTAGCACCAGAAAACAGCTTGAAGTAGACCGCCGCTGAAGCCGTGAACGTAGAAGGATTCGAAGAGCGCGGCACACCCCTCGAGGTGTTTCCTCCAGTCCTGTGCACTGGCAGACATCATCTCGAGACAGCACAGAATTGTGCAGATGGGAATGATCTTCTGGTCTCGTGATTGCAGTAATGGCGTTAGTAGGCGGATAGCTTCCTGGTACAGCTCGAGGCTGTCAAACGATGTTTGTTTCCCCTCTTTTCGCTCCATCTGTCGCGCCGAGAGGGCGAGGACGGCGTAGAGTAGTGCAGGGGAGCTTCGGGCAAGGACAGGAACTTGTATGCCAAAAGCCCTGTCGCTGTCGAACATGTCGAGCTGTTGTGAAGAATGAGCTTTGGGCAACGACGTGGTAAAGAGGTTAAATGTGATACGAACTCACCCATGTCGCGACCTCTCCGACGTAGTTCTTCAAATACTCCAACCTCCGACCTGTTCCCAGAATCTGGCCGGCCTGCCGTCGCGCGGCTCCCTCATCGCCCAAGATGGTACCCGGCGCCGCGAAGCCCCCGGCAGAAAAGCCGCCATCAGCTGCCTCCGGCGTCCCCTCTCGCGTGGGAGCTGCCGTTTGTGCCGTGTTGAAGATGAGGCATCTCAGCTCCTCTTGGTAGGCGAGATACCCGGGGTCGGTGACGAACTCATCTAATCTCCACGACTCGGCCGGCGACGTTGATGCTTCGGACGAGAGATGGTGTGAGGGTGTTGGCTCGCCGAGGCCCCATGTTGACGAAGCAGCTGGTGTCACGGCTGACCCGAAGTGTGAGAATGCTTGGGATTGGGAGTGGGATCGGGCATGAGAACGCGAGTGAGAGTGAGATTGAGGCTGAGAGTGAGAGTGAGACTCAGTTTGAGACTGTGACTGAGAATGGGACTGAGACTGAGACTGAGACTGAGAGCCTGTGTTCTCTACCCGGTCGAAGGGTGCCGCGGTTGATTCGTCATCCTTAGCCATGGGCGAGAGCATCGTGAGAAACGTAATTGATGGCGTTAATGCAACTGTTCACCGGCTAAATCCAGTCTTTACTACATGAAAGTGAAGCTCAACTCAAGTATCGTGAAATCGGCCAAAGCCCACCTCATGGATCGGAAGGTTTCGGTAGGTCATGCGGGAGGAGGAAAAAGACTGGATCTCCTCTTCACCTGTGACCTCCTCTGGGGTCTCTCCGGCGTTGCTTCCATCGAAAATTGCCCGACTAGCGGATTTCGGATGTTGCTGGCGTCCAATGGGTAAGTGTGCCAGACCCTAGGGGGAGATGGGCGCATTGAATGCTGCGGGGAACCCAAGTTAGCGGAACTTGCGGGGAAGTTAACCGCTGGTGATTGGCCTTGGGGGGTTTAGAAAGGGGGGTGTTTACTCGCTTTGGTGCGTTCAAGTCTTCAGGGACGGACCTAGACCGACATGTCGGTGAGACGGAGTCACCGAGGGGTTGTCCAGGTGAGTGTCGGTGAGAGACAGCGAGAAGAAGGGTGTATCTTTCGCAACATCGCCAGATCGTGCAACTCACACGTGACGTCGAGAATCCTATGGGGTCTTGATACTTACGATGAAACGACTTGAGCGGGCTTCATGTTCTACAATATCCAGATGTGATTCCATGGCACTGCCTTATTCACGTCTAGAGCTCACAGGGTGAGAGAACACCAATAGGTCTTTCGTAACCCTAGCCAGAACATACATCTTATAGGCTGAAATTTGTCACCCAACGGTGTCGTATATGAGAGTGTATTTCTAGAAGTGAGAGTCTGTACTGACATTGGCCGACGTGTTTTCGTCTTCGGCCTCAACTTTTCCGGCACAGCGGGGCCAGGACCTCGGGGTTTCGGTGCTGATGTCACCGGCCGCGGGGTTCGATGAACCCTTCAGTCAAAAAAGGAAGCCGAAGCCATGAGCCGATCCTCGTGGGCCGTGGATCATGTTTAACATCGTCTACTCTCTCTTGGCAAGACCCTGCAGAAGAAGCCGCTGGTGTAAAGCCCGGTGAGTAGCCCGGCTAATTTAAACCTCGTGTGTCCCTAAATATCAAGTACATACATTTGCACCCTCTACTCAGAATGTAAAGATGGTTCAACCCAAGATCACGTCTTTGCGCTTCGAGCACCATCCCACCGGGCTGGGTGTCTCTTCTCCTACCCCCCGCATCTCATGGCGCGTCGAGTCAGACCCTATAGCAAAGGATTGGCAGCAGACATCTTACGATATTAAGATCTCACGTGGCTCTGCGCCGGCCCAGGAATTCCACATCGAGAGCGCTTCGACAGTACTCGTTCCATGGCCTGACACTCCTTTGGCAACAGGCGAAAGAGCGACAGTCGTCGTTAAGTCTTACGGGACCTCAGACAATGCCCAGTTGGACTCTGGATGGTCTTCGGAGGCAACAGTAGAGACCGCTCTGCTCTCGCGCGATGACTGGAAAGCTACGCCCATCACCGCACCCCCGCGTACTGCCTCGCACCCAGATGAGAGAGGAATCCGGTCGGTCCGATTCCGAAAAGTGTTCGACTGCCCCGATGTGAAAGGCGGCGGTAATACTAGACTCTACATCACTGCGCTAGGCTTATACGAAGCGTACCTGAACGGCCACCGCATCGGAGACGAGTGGCTCGCCCCCGGCTGGACTGCTTACCAGCATCGCATTCAGTACCAGGTATTCGATGTAGAGCATCTCTTGAAGCCTGGTCAACGGAACGTTCTCACAGTGGAAGTCGGCGAAGGATGGTACGCGGGCCGAATTCTTTGGGGTGAGGGCTTAACCTGCTTCTACGGCGACCGCATTGGTGTACTAGCTCAGCTCGAGATCCGCGACGACGATAGAACAGGGCCAGCTTTGAAGCTTGTGACGGACGATTCATGGGAGTGCAGGTCCTCACCAATCGTCGGAAGCGACATCTACGACGGTGAGACGTACGATCTCGGCCTCGAAGTAAACGACTGGCATCACGGCGACCACAGCGAATGGACCACCGTTGAGACGCTACCGTTTCCGAAAGCCACACTCATAGCAGCATCCTCTCCACCAGTCCGCACCACTGAGACCGTCAAACCCATCAAAGTCTTCAAAGACATCAACGGCAAGACACTTGTCGACTTTGGTCAGAATCTCGTCGGAAAACTCGTCATCCCAGAGCTCGTGAAGCCAGACGGCCACCGGCTCACCATCCGCCACGCGGAGGTCCTTGAAAACGGCCAACTCGGAACCCGCCCTCTCCGAGCGGCAAAAGCAACTGATGCGATCATCTTTGGTGGCGGCCGAGTTCTGGAGAACTGGTCCCCTCACTTCACCTATCACGGCTTCCGCTATGTCGAGCTGGACGGCTGGGACGACGTGACGCTAAACTCACTCTCCGCCGTCGTCATGCACACCGGCATGCAGCGAACAGGCTTCTTCTCCTGCTCTAATGACGAAGTCAACGCACTGCACCGCAACGTCGTCTGGAGCATGCGCGGGAACTTTGTCTCTATTCCCACTGACTGTCCGCAGCGCGATGAGCGGCTGGGCTGGACGGGCGACATCCAAATCTTTAGCCCGACAGCCTCGTTCCTGTACGATTGTGCGGGCATGCTGAGCAACTGGATGCGAGACGTGCTCCTGGACCAGAAGGACGCCGGCGGCATTGTCCCGCTCGTGGTTCCCAATGTTATGAAGGATGGGCCCTGGCCTTCTGTGCCGCAAGCAGTATGGGATGATGTTATTGTGCTAGTGCCTTGGACTTTGTATAAGTGGTTTGGTGACGCGGGCGTCTTGCAAGAGACGTATGCGGGTATGAGAGACTACATCAAGTCCATCAAGCGCGGGAACGACGGTTTATGGGATTCTTCACTTTGGCAGTTGGGCGACTGGCTTGATCCCAACGCGCCGCCCGCCGAGCCAGGTCTAGCTAGGACGGACGGCACCCTCGTCGCGGACGCCTATCTGGTTCACGTCACCGGCATCGTGTCCCAAATCGCCAGCATCATCAATCTTCCATCTGAGGCTGAGGAGCTCGCTAGTGAACACAAACGGCTCAAGCAGCTCTTCCAAGATAAGTACGTCACCAAAGCGGGCTTTATCGTCGCGGATTCCCAGACCGCGCTGGCACTGGCCCTACTCTTCGACTTACACGACACCACCGCCCAACGCGAAGCCGCAGCCGCAAGACTCGCGCGACTTGTGCAGTACTCTAAGTTCAGAGTATCCACCGGCTTCGCGGGCACACCCGTGATCCTGCACGCGCTGTCAGAGACGGGATATGTCCAGCATGCATACCGTATGCTTCTAGAGACGGGTTGTCCCTCGTGGCTATACCCCATCCGCATGGGTGCCACCACAGTCTGGGAGAGATGGGATAGCATGCTAGAAGACGGGACAATCAACCCGGGCGAGATGACAAGCTTCAACCACTATGCTCTCGGCAGCGTCGCGAACTGGATGCACGCCGGTATTGGGGGGCTGTCGCCGCTCGAGGCCGGATGGAAGAGATTCCAGGTTCGGCCCCGGCCCGGAGGGGACCTGCGACACGCCAGCGTCGAGTATCTGAGCCCGCACGGCTTGGTCCGGAGTCGATGGGAGATTGGGTCGGGTGAGAAGTTTGTTTTAGAGCTGACGGTGCCGCTGAATACGTCTGCTGTAGTTTCTTTGCCGGATGGCGGGCAGGAGAGGACGGTTGGGTCTGGGAGTCATGTATTTGAGAGCCGTCTTGCTCCGGGACTCAGGGAGGCGTGGCCTCCCAAAGCTCTGTTGACGCAATTTGGACTTTGATGTCGTTTGAGTGGACAAGGTTGACTTTAATGTGCCTCTGATGGGAGTCTCAGTAGATTTACAATTCACAACGCGAATGTCGACATGCTTGTATCTTGAGCTTGCAATACTGTAAGACGGGCTGCTAGTTAGCCCGCGTATTACTCGAGTACTTCGTGACTTTACGCAACTCACAGTAATCATCATTACGAGACAAACCTGTTGCACGTAAACTTAACCTTTGGTGGTTTTTGAGTAATAATTGCCATGGTTTCTATAAGCGCCAACTATCTTTCCACTCCATTCTTGCATTATTGTCATACCCAAGGCTGCAGAAATCTCTTGAAGCTCGTCTTACGAGTGTTTGTTCAGGTGGACTACCGTTTTGTTGCTGTAGAAACCTTGACTTGGAGCTGTGACCACCGCATAATGCACCCATCCAAAGGGACTTTGGGGACTTTGAGTAGAGGACTTTTGCGACGGACCCCTGCTATCTCTGACTCTGACCGTCTGACGGATCTCCGTGCCGTAGAATTGCATCATTGCGGCCGCTGGGGACCTTCTGAGCTCGGTTACTCGCTGACGACTTGATCATCTTCCTGATAAACTAAAGCTTACCCTCCTCTTCTTCTCACATACCATTGAGGATTGCTCTCTCCTCGAGTCCCTCCATCGACATTGCCCATCTGTCAAACTGCCCATCATGCGCTACTCCCTCTCGGCCAAGCTGCTCCTCCTGCTGGGCTCTTCTCAGCTCGTGCTCAGCTCCCCCGACGACCAGCGCGTACTCGCTCCCGCTACGGAACAGGCGATAAACGAGGTTGCCGTGGCCTTGGGCTGGGACAAGGCTCCCGTGTTCACGACCGAGGACATAGATGCAATCGTCGCGGCGCTCAAGAAACACGCTGACCCGGTCGATGCCTTCGTCTCTCTTCAGCCCGATATGGCGGACACGCTAGCCGAGCCGAGACTGATCCATGTTCATGGCGAGAAAATGGCAGAATGGATGACCGAGGGCGATAAGCTTCGTCTTCGGCGTAAGGGACGCAAGTTCCGCGACATCACTGATTTCCAGGAGCTCTACGCCGACCACGTCAACACCTTTGCAGGGAAAGCCAGTAAGTCCAACTCATCATACTCGCCCAGATTGCTCCTCGTAGGAAACGGACAGCTGACGCCGTCGCAACTGCAGACCTTCCCAAGATCACCCACCAAAGCCTCATCAAACCCCTCTTCCCCAAAGTCAACCAGACAAACATGCACAATGTCCTCAAGCACATGACGAGCTATTACAACAGATACTACGGCGGTGTGACCGGCGAGGAGAGCTCCGTCTGGCTTCACGACCACGTTGCCTCCATCATTGCCCAGTCGCCCTTCCACGCCCACATCTCGCTCGAGTACTTCACCCACGAGTTCCCCCAATCCTCTATCATCGCCCGCTTCGAGCCCAAGGTCCGCGACTTCTCCAAGCCCCTGACCATCATCGGCGCCCACCAAGACTCGGCAAACTACCTCTTCCCCCTGCTCCCTGCCCCCGGCGCCGATGACGATTGCTCCGGCACCGTGAGCATTCTTGAGGCCTTCCGCGTTCTCGCGACGAGCGGCTACGTGCCCAAGGAGGGACCAGTCGAGTTCCACTGGTACGCGGCCGAGGAGGGCGGGTTGCTGGGCAGCCAGGCCGTCGCAGCCTACAAGAAGAAGGAGGGTGCCAACATTGGCGCCATGATGGAGTTCGACATGACGGCTTTCATCGCGCGTAATGCTACCGAGTCCATTGGCTTCATCAAGACGGACGCGGACGCGCCGTTGACCAAGTGGGCGGTTGACCTGAGCGAGGAGTACATCAACATCACGACGAGTGTCTATGAGCTCATGCCCGGCGCCGGGTCGGATTACATGTCTTACACCAAGCTCGGGTACCCTGCTACTTTTGCATCCGAGGGCAACCCCGTCGCGGGTGGATTCCCCGGCGAGTTTGACCCGTATGTGCACACGGAAAAGGATACCATGGATGTCGATGACGAGACGGGGGTGTTCTCTATTGATCACATGGCGAGGTTCTCTGAGCTGGCCATTGCCTTTGCAATTGAGCAGGCTGGGTGGGATAACAAGTGGAGGTAAATGGCGGTAGTAACGGGGGCCATAGATTGATGCTAGCGACGTTCTGATGATAGTATCGCTTTAATGATGTGCCTTTGAGAGCCATGCCAACTGTGGAGGGATTCGAGCAAGTTCAATGACAACAGCTGATTTCCTGTTCAATACCTATACGAGCACCTTTGAAGTTTGAGGAAGCCAATTCCGCATCGCGGCCAGTTCCTCATCACATTCCGAGCCAGTTCCGAAGAGCTTTCGCCCACCTGGTTTGTCAAGATCCTTAGCTGATGGCGTCAACAACAGCTTGAATATGCATAATGTGATCGATGACAAATTGCGGGGGACTCAATGACAAAGTGCGGAGACGCACAGCGCCTTCGGCTCCCACATATAATCGCAAGCTGACCAAGCCAAGCTGAAGAATCTCATGAAGTGAACCTTGATCTCTCTTCGTTCAACAAGCTAAGGAACTCTCCTAATCTTGCGAAATTCAAGAATTCAACGGGTCTGGCAAATACAACTTCACACTAAACGTTAGCGACTCACCTCAACGATGGCCTCAGCAACATCCTTCCGCCAAATCGTTGGCGCCCCTCCCTCGACGGCCTCACCCACCGACAGCACCCTCATCATCATCGACGCCCAGAATGAGTACGCAGAAGGCAAACTCGCCGTTCAGGACGTTGCCTCCTCGCGGAAGGCCATCGCCGCCCTGCTGCAAAAGTACCGCGACGCAGGCCAGCCCAGTAGCATCGTGCACGTCGTCCACGACACGCCTGAAGGCGCTCCCCTCTTTACCCCCGGAACCAAGCTGGCTGAGGAATTTGACGAGCTGAAGCCTAAGGATGGTGAAAAGGTGGTGAGGAAGCAATTCCCTGGTTCCTTTGCAGGGACGGATTTGCAGGCGCATTTGGAGGGTTTGGGAGCGAGGGGGAAGAAGGTTGTGTTGACTGGGTACATGGTAAGTCTGGCGCATTTCACATGCGGGATGTTTACCCTTGCAAGATGACAAGTTCGATTGCTGATGTCTGATTTTCAAGGCTCACGTTTGTGTGTCCACTACCGCGAGACAAGCTGATCAGCGTGGGTTCGACGTTTTGATTGCTGAGGATGCGGTCGGTGATCGTGATATTCCTGGCGTCGATGCTGCGCAGCTCGTCAAGGTTGCTTTGAGTGAGATTGGTGATGCTTTTGGTACTATTGTGCAGAGCAAAGACATTGTTTAGCCTTGTTGAGGAGTTGAAGTACAATATGAGTTTGTTTGATCAACTTGAATGTTATATGTACTTGGTCCACGATTCCACCTAACTTACAGTGGCTCGAGTAAGACACAACTAAATCCATGGCGACGAGGCAGCAGTCCAGGCAACGATTAGGGAATGTTAGACTTTAGAACGGACAGGTCAACAGCTGCAACTCAACTTTACCACATGTGGCATTCCTAACAAGTACTACTTAAGGAGCTCATTCAACCCGTTCCACTCACTCCTATACTAATGTAAGTAGGACCTGTCTGTTCGGGCCCGACGGTGACCACTACGGGCCATCACCCCTTCCTCCAGTCCCTATCTGAAGCCTGAACCTCTGCAGCCGGTTCCAGCCGTGTGGTTCTCAAGGTGCATCGAGAAAACTAATCGATAACTAGCTCAGTATCTCCAGAGAAGAAACATCGAACCATCCAATTCCAGATCCAAAGCTGAAATCGCCGATTGGCGGCGCCATAGTGCGGAGAAAACGGCACCACGCCATCAAGGCCCTGACGATCGGCGCGGCGTACCCAGAGCTGTTGAAGCCCACTAAAGAGGCACAGCAACCGCTACCAATTCGAATACTGACGGGACATTGGTTACGTTCTTCAAGAACAAACACTGTAGTTCCGAGGAAGAGCTATGAGAACCCACAGGAACTCCATCGTTGCAGGGCCGCGCAGCTAACCGACTTGGCGAAGAACGAATTCATAGCCCAAAGAGGCATCAGTGTCGTCACCACTCTGTGCTGCTCAGCTGGAGCAAGCAGTTGGGCTCTCAATGTCCCACTGAACAGCTCGAATACTCACAAAGTTGCAAGGGCAAAGCAGCGGGTTTGACAGCTTGGGATTCGGACCTCGGACAACTAAGTTCTGCGAGCGAAGCATTGGCGCGCTCATCACCATGTGAGAAAACTATTGCTTTTGTCTTGCGACGACCCCACGATGGAAGATGAATTGGATAAAAGGTATGAGCAGCTGCACAATGGGATGAACTCGCGATGGCATCACCCTATTATTGCGACTCAATATCAAGCACCACACATTCCTCGCGACGGCCAGAGTTATTAGACTTGTCTCTAGTTATTAGACATCTTACCGCAACGAAGCCATCACGATGAGATCGTCGGCCCTTTCCACGATCCTCTCCTGGGCAGCCGTCGCGTCCGCCGCCGCAGTGACAAACGACACCTCGCCTTCCCCAAGCATTCCCAACGTTGTCCAGTCCACCTGGGACGGGAAATGTTTCTACCCTACGCCTGATGCCGCCTTTGACCTCGAGTCTTACCTTGGCCGTTGGTACCAGGTCGCCGGCACTGTTGCGCCCTTTACCGCAGGCTGCAAGTGCATCTTTGCGCAGTACTCTCTGAACGTGCGTACTCACTCACTCTCTTACATACCCAGTGTCTTGTATTTCTCAGGAGTACATGTGGCGGGCTAATACCTAGTGATATCCAGGATAATGGCACCGTCAAGGTGAACAACACCTGCGAAGCCGGGGGCCGCGCCATCAACATCCTGGGCACCGCTACGCCGGCTGATCCTTCATACGGAGCCAAGGGAGCCCTTCGCGTACAGTTCCCCGGCCAGCCCGGTCCCGACTGCGCCGGTCCGAATTACATTGTCCAAGGTACGCGCAGTGCGCCCCAATGAGAATGGGAGAGCGGCGTAGGCACGGAGCTGCTCTGGCACGCCGGGGCCGAAACCTTGTCAAGGTACCTCTAAGCTGACAATGTCATTCTGTCCACAGACTACACCCCAGACTTTGCGCTCGTGCAGGCCAGCAACTTTACTACGCTGTTCGTGCTCAGTCGACAGCGAAACCCGGAGGACGCGATTCTCGACGTAAGCCTCTCCTCTCTTTCTCTCCCATGAAGCGGACTGGAATGGCACATCCGAACGGATAGGAATATATTCCGCAAGCGTTGCGACCAGTAACGATGAGGGCTTGCAATTGGCTAACAAAATGAACTCTCAACGGGCTTGGATCGCGCGCGCCGGCCAGCTCGGCTCGAACCTCGCAGACGTTGTAAAGACGGATCAAACCGGTTGCCAGTTCGCATGAGACATGGGGAATGCGCCAAACGCTGCATCTGGGGATCGCGAAGAATCTGTGCCTGGCGCTTGGCCCGGAACGGAAGAATTGAGGTGAGACTTTGGGTCTTCGAGTGTCCAAGAGCGGTCTTTGGGGCCAAAGGTAAAATAGTGGTATTTCTACAGAAACAGACGAAAATTCCATGCAAATGCCGGATGTCTCGTGTCAGTGTCAATGTCAGTGTCGCAGTCGGTGACATTCGCAAGCGGGATCGTAAACTGGGGGAACTGAGATGTGAGAACTGACTGCATGTGCTCAGACCTCGATGTTGAACCAGACACACAAGTCAGAGCTCACAATGGAAGATACCAAGTCATTGGTCAATGGCCGTAGATCTCACAGCAAGCCTCCGGAGCTCAGCTCCAGCTCTTAGCTATCAGCTCACCTTTAAACTTTGGAGCTTGGAGCTGTAGCTTCGACACCACGGCCCCATAAGCTTCATTGACTTTTCCCCCATGTTGCACCAGTGCGACCACCAGGCGCGCCCACGGCGTAAGTTGTGCCACTTATGCAAGGGGATTCTATGACGACACCACCCTCAGCCCGAGACATCATGACGAATGTGGCCGCGTCCGGCCTGTTTTTGTGAACGCATCTGTGGGTAACCATAAATTGTGGAAGAGGACTAGGAAAAAGAAAATAGGAAAGGCTGGGCCTGAGCATTAGGACTGAGAGCGGAGGTGAAGGACGGGGATGATGATGAGTGAGGTAATGAATTGAGTTTGATTCAAATAGCTCTCGGGTCCTCCTGGCGAGGGTCGCCTTGCAACCGAGTGTATTTTGTTATTACTGCTACGTGGAATCGATCATTATCATACAACGAAACTTTGAACAGTAGCTGCATCTCTACTTCGACTGCTATATCATCCATTACTTCATACTACCACCGCAACAATGGTTAAAGCCAAGGAAGAGGTTATTTCCGAGTTCAATGAGTACGTCAACATGACGGCCGAGGACCTCGAGTCCTGGCTCAAGTCAGACGACTCGAACAGCGCGGGTTGGCCCAAGGACGACGCTGAGGGCGAGGGCGAGTCGGTCGGACATGACAGCGGGCGCAAGATTGTCGAGATCCTCCAGGCGAACCCCGACAAGAAGGAGGACGAGTACACGGATGAGCAGGTCGAGCATATGCGCAAGGTTGTGGCTTACTGGTGAGTATATGTTCGCGATGTGACGGGGTGAAGCATGAGATGAGTGAGAAGCTAATTGAGTGATGCAATAATAGTAAGCGACACTTGGCGCAAGAATCCAAGGCGAACAGCGATAAGTCGCCCGAGGAAGTGAAGAAGAGCAAGTCGTATGCTTCACTGAAGAACTGGGGACACGACTTCCTCAAGGCCCAGGGCAAGGAGAATGGCGCGTCAAAGTCGAATGGAAAGTCCACCAAGAAGGAAGAGAATGGCGACGAGGAGAAGGCCGAGTCGAATGGATCCAAGAAGCAGAACGGGTCCAAGAAGGAAGAGGAAGAGGCCAAAGATGACGAGGAAGAGGAGGCCGCTGACGAAGAGGCCGAGGATGAGAGTGAGGAGAAGGCCGGTGACAAGCGCAAGAATGCCAGCGAGGAGAACGGAGCCAGCAAGAAGCGACAGACGCGCCAGGGCGAGGGCAAGTCGACTGAGAAGTCCGATGAGAAGAATGGAGACGATGACAAGGAAGAGGAGGCTGAGGAGAAGGATGAGGATGGTGACGAAGAGATGGAGGACGACGGCGACGACAAGGAGAATGGCGGCGGCAAGGCCAAGAAAGGACCCAAGAAGGGCGATACCGTCAGCTGGAACTGGGGCAGTGGTCAGCCTGAGGGCAAGGTCCTTGACGTGAAGGGCGAAAAGTAAGTCAATTGCGAGGGGGTTCTCGTTGTTATAATGAAGACAGGGCTAACGCGATACTTAGGACGTCTATCACGACGAAACGTGGAAACGAAGTGTCTCGCGATGGAGATCCTGAGGACCCGGCCGTTGTCATTGACACTGGAAAGTCGAAAGCAATCAAGTCTGCTCACGAGTTGAATGAGTAATTGGCGCCACGGAGTCGCAGAGAAGGCATACTTCTTCGCCGCGATCGGTCTGCTTTACGTCAGGAAGCATGTATAGATGCGTCGTGTACTGTTATTGTTTAGTGTACTATCTTTTTCAATTGCGATGGCGGTTATTGAATGGACAATGGAACCTGATCTTAAATGCGATGTTACACTTTTACACTCCTATACAACATTTTACACGGCGTACATGATCCATCTTACAACTCTTCCACCCTCTCCGACTGTGAGGAACCCGTATCCTTCTGGAACTTGGTGATGGGGTCCTTCTCTGCCTCCTTCACCTGGTTCCAGAACTTCTCGCCATTCTCCTTGTCATCCTTGAACAGGTGATCAATCACCAGCTTCTTGGGCGTCTCACCCATCCATTGAAAGAGAGAGAAATCGCGGAACTCATCAGCCCGGAAAATCTCGAGCATTTCAATTGGCTCATCGCCGATATTCTCAACAAAGTGACCCATGTTCTTAGGCACAATACCGACATCGCCGGGGACGTAATCGAAGGTGCGGGCAGTACCCTCAGCCGCGAAGATGGTAATACGGGCCCGACCCTTGATGAAGAAGGACCACTCGTCGGCGTTGGGATGCCAGTGCATCTCGCGCAGCGCGCCAGGCTGGATCGTGAGGTGGGCAGCAGCAACCTGTGAGAGATATAATTGTCAGTTTTGAACCTTCTGAGAAGCGTGTCGAGGTTTCAATATCTTACAGTCTTGGAGATGGGGAAGTTCTTGGAGTCGGTGATGCGAACCTCGCCGCCCGACGTCTGCTCGGGCTCCTGATCGAGCATCCTGTGAGTGAAGTTGAAGCGGGACTTCTTGGCATGCTTGCCCTTTGGCCGTTCCTCGTCAATGGGGCCCGGGAGCGTGCCCTGGAAAATGTATTTCTCGCCCTCGGGGAGGTGTTTGAACACTTCGGGTTCGAGGTGGAAGTTTTCGGCAATGACTGACTTGGGTGTGTGCGCGAGCCAGTCTGACAGGATAAAGGTTGATTCCTCAGAGAAACGGCCATCGTCGAAGATGAGGAGGAACTCGGTGCCATTGGGACTCAGTCCTTGCAGGGAGTGAGGGACGCCTGACGGGAAGTACCAGAGGTCTATTGGGTATCGAATGTCAGTTTTCGTTGCCCTCGTTGCATGATCAAGTGATGAACATCGTCAATTTTTCCATTTGAATATGGAAGTATGTACTTACCGCCCTTCTTGAGGTCGTCGATAAAGTTACCGCCCTCGTAGTCGAGCGCTGTAACGCGAACTTCGCCGTCCAAGACGTACGCCCATTCGGCCTCCTTGTGCCAGTGAAGCTCGCGAATGACGCCCTCTCCAAGACGCATGTTCACGCCGGCGAGCTCGACGCTGGTTGACAACTCGCGGACAGTCGTCTGTCGGGTCCATCCGCCTTCCTGTTATTTGGCAAATGTTGTTAGTCTGGGATGGATTCGGGCTTGGGTGATAGCTTCAATGCCACTCTGACAGCTCAATTGGCGCCGAACCATTAAGCACTGACCTCAATTCGAATATGCGAATCCGCAAAACTCCATCGCATGTTGGGCATGTTTCCCTTGTCCGTTGAAGGCGGCCGCACCATATCCGGGTTCTGGCGCGAGCGCTCGCTGTTCCAGGGCCCCAGCACTGAGGCGCCGAGGCCGTTGCGGTAGGGAAGCGGGTCGAGGCCGTCGCCGACCGAGTCGACGGCGCCGTCATTGGGATCCCTGAAGCCCGGGACGTACGGGTTGCTGGTGCTCTTCTTCTTGTAGCTCGCGGGGATGTCCATGCCCCGGAGAAGACGCTCACGGGGGCTGTCAAAGTGCGGTGCCGCCGAGCACAGCTCGCTGGCTGACGCCCAGAGAAGCAGCAGCTTGGCTGCCGTGGGTTGGGTGAGATGCATGCTGGGCCAAGATTTCGTGGTGATGGGGATCGATGCGACGGGACTGGGGGGATGCGATGTGCCAAGAGGGTAGCTCGCAGCAGAGAATGGGAATGGGGTCAATTGGGTCTACAATTGACTTTTCTCTTTCTTCAATGGCTAAGAATAAAGACACAAGGATGAAAGTCTTCAAGACGCAAGACGTTCAGCTCGTGACACTGGGAGCCAGAGGCTATTTTATACCCCCTTCCTAAAGCTCATCATCCGACTTAGCCATGCCAATACCCAATGCCTTGACCTCTTCCTCGGCCTCGCCAATGTCGCAACCAAGTCGTAGTACGTAAACACGGGGAGCTTACGAAGGGAACCATCCCTCCGTCGTAGTCATCGGCGCATCACCTCACCCGCCCATCGCTGCAGTCTGCAGGTTGAACCGAACAGTGACACACACCACACACCAAGATCCCACGTCTGCCACACACCCACCAATCCGTCGACGCACATGCCGAACCACCCCCGAGACCCAAGCTCCCCCGCAGCTGTAGCAACAATGGCAAGGTAGTAGGGTACCTTGCCAAACCAAGCAGCTTCGAGAGCTGGCGCTGTTGCTGCATGCCACCTTGCATGGAATGTTCAACAAAAGCTCCCCCTCACTGGCTGAAACGCGGTAGAGCGATGGGCATAGCACCTCTTGCGCATGCGGGGATGAACCAGTCAACCTGCCTCCCCAGTGATAGCCGGCGCACCAGGGGAAGAGAGGAACGCTTGCCGTAGACCAGGGCCAGGGAGGGGAAGAGGAGGAGCAACAGACCACTTGATTAGTCTAGTATGAGAAACCGGACGCACTGAGGTGGCCTGGCGTTCAAGCTCGTCACTCAACGAAACCCAATTGGCCTTTCAGGTGAGCTGCTGAAGCTCTTCTCCATCGTTCGCTGCGACGTTGGCGGGATGTCTGCAGCAGGCCAGGCCATGACGCAGGTTCCTGCGGCTTGAGCTCTACTCCCAATGCAACTCCAGAACCATCGATTGGACGGGGCATATGTCGGAGATCCTGGAGAAGAAGCTGGTTCCGCGGCCAGGCGTTGTCAGGCCCCCGGTTTCACTGCGTGACTGCAGTGACATTCTGCATATCCTTTCTCTGACTGAGCTTAGATCAAGGCTATTTCTGATGGGCTTGCTCATGCTTGTCCCAGCTTCTTGCGTTTCCCCCTCACTCTCTTTGCTCGAATCCCACGCCCCCTAAAGGCCCGAAAGTCACAGATCATACCCGGTCCGTCGAATGGCATCTTTCCATTCCGTGAGAACCGTCCGCCGAGAGATTTTCGAGCGGGGATAGATCGCTCTTGGTCTTGGCTTTCTTTCGGCATTGCTTTCCGCCCTTTGGCCCATATAAACCAGGCTGGAAACCTGGAAACTTTTCGCGGGTGGACCACGGCAGATCCGAAGTGTTCGAGTTTCTGGCCTTCGGGCTTTTCTTCAGTCTTTGCAAAGTACTGACGGATACTACAAACATTGCGCGTTAGCACCCACCGGCTGTCTCTCTCCCCCATCTTCGGCACATCCATGTCAACTTGAGAGTTTTATTTATATCCGCATAACTCTTCGCCAACCAACGTCGCTTGGTCAGAGCTTTCAGTTTCTTCGAGGGGCATCCCATTCTCAGTGAAGCTGAAGCTACTGCTTCTCAACCACCTTTCTACGTCGCGATCAGAGGCGCCCTATCGAAACAACGCACCGAAAACACCGCAAAGATGAGCTCAACGAGTGGCAACTACGGCTCCGTCACCAACTCGGCTCCGGTCGTGAACGGCGACTCGCACGCCCACGCCGATGAAGAGCAGCCCCTTCTTGGCGGCGGAGGCGGCGCCCGGAAACCAGCTTCCAAGTCTCTGCGAAAGAAGCTCACTACAGACGTGCAGCGCGACTGGGCCGACCTGGTTCTCTTGGCATGCTACATCATCACCGGCCTGCTCGACAGCTCTTCCATCTCCATCTGGGGCTCTTTTGTGTCTATGCAAACAGGTAAGATCCCTCCCAAGCCTTCCTTACCCACAATAACGGCCCGAAGCTTCGCGTTCCACAGCACTGACACGGAACAAAAAACAGGAAACACAGTCTACATCGGCCTCGGCCTCGCCGCGCCCACCGAATCCACCCGCTGGATCAAATCCGCCACCTCGCTCATCTCATTCTGTCTCGGCTCTTTCTTCTTCAGCCGTTTCCACCGCTTCTTCTCTCCCAAGAAGCGCTGGGTCCTCTGCGCGTCCTTCATCGCCCAGACGCTCCTCTGCGTCGCCGCCGCCGTCATCCTGACCGTTGGTCCTGCGGCCGGCAAGGACGAGATCGCCTGGAACGTCCTGGTGCCTATCGCCCTCATTGCCTTCCAGAGCTGCGGTCAGGCTGTCACCAGCCGCGCGCTCAAGTATAACGCGCTCACCAGCGTCGTATTGACGAGTATCTACTGCGACCTGTTCTCTGACGCTGAGCTATTCAGCGTCCGCAATGCTGAGCGGAACCGAAGGGTCGGCGCGCCTGTATTGCTTCTTGTTGGTGCCATTTGCGGTGGCTTGTTTGCGCACAGTTCCCTGGGAATTGCTGGTGCTCTGTGGACGGCCGCTTTCTTGAAGTTCCTCATCGTCTTGTCGTGGTTCTTCTGGCCTGGTGAACCGACTTCCGACGAGTAGATAAGATGGGTTTTGTGCAGCTTGCTATCCGGGCCTTGCTCATCCGAGAGACTTGGATACTTAGTGTTCTAAGACATAGTTGCAAGATGATAAGCTACTATGGCATTTAGTGTGGGCTGATAGACAACCTCAAGGTCTGGCGAATCAAGTACATTGAGCATATAGGCTTCTGAAGTTCATGGAGCAAATATAGTAACGATTTTCAAAAACTGCGAAGAATATGAAAGGGCATTCTGCCCGTCTCTCAACTCAAAGCAAGCTAAAAAACGAAAACATAGTATCTTCCTGACCCTGATCTTTCAGGAATAACGTGGGGTCATCTTCATTGAGAGACGAGTTCGTGCTGCAGCAACTAAAGAGCGGCATAGCCTCTCAAGTACCATTTGAGTGTCGGGGGAAAACGCCACTAGTTCTTCCTGCGGTTTTCTTCGCTCATCAACTCTCTAGGGAACCCACTGATTGGGAGCATTGCATAGCTTGGATCCGGCCCGGCTTCTGAGCGAAATCGCAGAAAGATGTTCGTCATCGATGTTTTCTCGCTGACACCCACATACATGCCGTTCATTTCGAAAACGCCTCGAGAACGCATATCGTCTATAGGCAAGATCAATGGTGCATCTGCCGGCTTCCCTATCTCCTGGACGACGAAAAAAGGTTCGAAGTTTGTGCCGTTCCGACACGTGTAAAGATATTCGCCAAGGTATCTCATTTCGTTGGATAGGTTGGAAAATCTGCAGTGGATACGGCCTTGGAAATCCATCGGATGTTAGCCTGGCGTGTTCTGAGAAACATCTGACAACAGAGCCCAGCAATACTACTTATCGAAGCACCATGTCTTTGGGGCGGAGGAACGTGATTGTACTCGCCTGTGCATTCAAATCCTCCCTCATCAGATCGCACTGATCTTGCGTCTTGCTCGAAATAGAAACAGCTTGCCACAAGTCTGTTTGCAACCTCCTTGATCTTCATCCTTTGAGCCGGAGTTTCTAGAAACTGCCGCGTTTGTACCTCTAGATTCACCAGCTCGTCGACGGCGTCCAGACGCGGGACTGCAGACTGCAGTTCGGGATTGATGCGAATGTGCCTACGGTGACTCTCACGCGCTCGATAGTCTCTTGTTTCATGTTCGCTGGACTGATACTCGCTAGGTTGATGTGGCATCTGTGGCAGGTTTCTAGCCTTGAATTCAGACCATGTCGCCTCGCATGACAATATCTGATCAAATCGGTCGGCGGTAATCCGAGCCATCTGTACTGGCAAGAACCTTTCCCAACGCCCGACCACGTGTCTGCCGCCTCTCGTGGTCTCGCGGCTGTGAAGATCTGATTGATATTCGTCTTTGGCCCTGTTTATCCCGGTGCCAATAGACAAGAGGACATCAGGTAAAGCATCGGCAATATCGGGCCAGATAGTCCGTCGTTCATGGTGAGCCACTAATACTGGACAGTTGTGATAGAGCGCACCATCGAGGTAGCCGGTTTTGGTGTCCTCCTTCGTGAATGGCTTAAAGAATGGCGGCGCAGCAGACGTTGCTCGGGCACTATCCAATATTCAGTATCATTTATCTCACTCTCATCATCATGAATGTTTTACTTACGCCTCCCATACTTTGAACTCTTGACTTGGCTGGTTGGGTCGTAGAAGCTGGTAAGGTACCTCTGTCGAAGTTAGCGCTCTGTACGAAAGCCACAGTATCAAACATGTACTTAGGAGACAGAACACTAAAGACTTACCGTGACCCACAACATTGGGTCTGTTGTAATTTGTGAGAATGATCGGCCGCTGGTCGATGGAGGTTGTCGAGGTCACGGCCACTTTTGTGAGCATCTCGCTTTGGCTATGACTACTGACTTTGCCGAAGAGTGGTCTGTCCTGGAATCTCTCCTGGAGGAGAGCCTCAAAGGGCTTGGTTTTGTACATGCTGCCGTGATTGATCGTTACGATCTTATTGACTAGCCCGAGCCCAAACCCAGAAAGCTCGCGTGGCCGAAAGGCATCTGCACATATGTTTTTGAATGTTTTAGTACATTCTTCCACTGACCAGTTTCTGACGCCCAGTCCAAGGGCAATGATACCTCCCGTGCTATATACAAAATCGCATTAGACCAACTGACTGCAGACAGATAATCTGGAATCTGCAATGGAGACCAACTTGCCTGGTTCCGACTATAAGATCGAAAAAAAGCTGTATCGGGAGTTTGCTTCCGAGCGCTCTTTCGATAGCCCTCAGAACTTGGAGTTCTACAATTCCTCGTACGCCGCCACTGGATTACAAGTCAGATGCTTTGGCCCAGGCTATCATACCGGCACTAAAAGAGACAAGGAGTAGCATACCCATCCAGACACAAGATCCGGGCGCCAACAAACTGTGGCTTGAGGACAACAGTCCAGGCAGGCTTCCACATCTTTTCCACCTGATGAAACGGGCATTTCGTCATCTCAACTTTTGTGTCAACAGTGACACCATAAGATTGAACACATGGTGAGCAAAGAACATGACCGCAAGGTAGTGGGTGTTCTGGTAGCGCCCTCAGGCAAGAAAAGCAGGTCGAGTGGCTGACGAATTCAGTCATACTGTCTAGGGACTGGCAAAACTCTGTGAGCTGGTCCCTATGTAAATCAGTTGCGATTTTCTTGCCACTTTGCTCGCGGTCTTGAAGTTCGGCCAGGTGAGTCCGAATCTGGTAAATCCACGACTGCGAGAAGGCTTGTAGGTCAAGGTCTGACTGATAGTCGCCCGCTGCAAATATTCGACCGTTCTCATTCTGGTGACCTTTATCGTGACCGATCTTGAAGTTACAACATTTCATGTTGGCATTTTTGGGGTGAGTAAAGCTGCATGGCGCATAGAAATCCGTGAACTCTCGCAAAGCAAGCTTGCAAAACTTGACGTATGCGTCTTCCAGAAGCTGCACCGGGGTGCCTACAACTAAATCATCAGACGCAATCAAAAAGACCAGAAGACTATTCCTTAAACTAACCCATGAAGTTCTGACGAACCGAGTCGAGCATGATGCATGAAGATATCATTGGGACCATCTTCTCGAATATCCAATCGGTTCCCTGCTCGGTTGTCGAAATCTTGCTGATAGCAATCGCCAAATTCAAGATGTTGCCACTGAAGTCTTGTGGAATGGGGTTTTGCTTGAGTGCCTCTTTGACGAAATCAAAGGGGTGGTCTAGATAACGGGAGAATTGATCGCAAGCTGCGCGGAGGTAGGTTTGCAACTTATCTGCAGTTGCGAGCATGCGAATGCGCCTCTTGTTAAGCAAAGACTCTCGACATTTTTCCTTGATTAACTCGAAAAGCTTCTCAGCCTGGTCGTCCATGAGCATATAGCGACCACCGCTTGGAACTCTGATGACTGAAATTGAAGCATAATAGCAGTCGAGCAAGTCTTTGGTGGTACTGATAGTTCGACCGATCTTTTGCCACATCCTGGCTTGGTCTTGGAATCGAGGTTCATGGGAGATTGCGTCTTTGATGTCATTGAGAAGACGGCTAGTCGCGGTTTTGATGTCCCATTCATCGTCGCTCACCTTATCAGTTGCATTGAGGACAATAATCGCATGAGGGAGCACCGGCTGATTCAACGACTTGTCGATTGAAGCAGCGCCCCATTCCAAAAGCTTGTCAAGGACGGTAGATTCAAAGGCCCTGGTATACCAGTCAAACGGGTGCCAATGTCCAAACGATAAAATCTGCTCTTACCTGGGATTCCTCAGTACGAAGACGACCACGTCCGAAAAGGTGTAAAGTATTCTGGGGTAGAGCTGTGTGACTGCGTATTCTCTCTTTTCCGTTTTGGGCGTAACGGCCCATGACAGTCCACGTTCCGAGGCGAAGGGAAAGCTCTTGAACTTCTTTCTCGAGCATGTTCCAATGGAAGCCGGAGACTGGCTAGCGTTAGAAGGTTTCCGTGGTCTACCTAAACCAGTTTTGCTCATGGCATTGGTAGCATCATTCAACACCCCCCCTAGTGCAGCTTCCTCCTTCCCCTTCAGGCGATGCCGCAAAGCAGCTGGAACAGCTTCGCCGCCGTCTAAACCCTCACAGTCTGCATATAATAAAGGCTCTTGAGTATCGTATGACATCGGATCAGCATAGAGGTGGACATTGCCAGTTGTCGGAACACGGTCGTTATGAGACGAAGTAACCGGGGATGGATACCTTGTCTCACGGTCAATCTTGTCGAGGCGATTGATCAGCATTTTGATCAATGTGCTTTTTCCAGCTCCTGAATAATGTCAGTATATGTCAAGAACACCGATGTAGCGTATAATATCAAGCGTTCCCACCTGTTTGACCAATAAAGGACACAATTTGTGGGAAGCGGTCGCCATGGCCTGCTGTTTGGTTGTTGATCATCAATGCAGCGAACCGCCCATAGTCCTGAAGGATAGGTCGGTTGGATGAGTCTCGTCCGACTCCAAACCATGTGGTGTCTTCTTCAGATTTGAGTTCCAGTTCGTGCTCTGCCACTGTTTGGGTGGGTTCTAGTATGTCGCGTAGTCTCTGGACGACCTGGGGGTTTAACTTCTCGTGTGGTCTACCACCCCAACCCACGGCGCCCGGCTTGTGAAGTTCCCATCGAGACCAACAAAGGTCACAAAACGAGAGGTTGTTGCATTGAATACATGTAAAAAGCCGCTCGTTCGGAACACGACATTCGCGGCAGGCCACTGGCTGGTTTTGGTGGGCTGTTTCCGCCATTGTGACCGACTACTGAGCCTTCTGGCGATGCTTGATAGCTTAGTCTGAAGAAGAAGTCGTGGGACAGGCACTTGAAATAAAAGGGAGAAACACGGATCCCTTCTCGCAGCCTGAGAACTTGCAATAAGGTTCCAAGGCAAGCAGGCGCTCTTTTGCGCCCTACAATACCTTATTCTGCACAGCTGCAGCCACAACTTTCTCGGTGTGAGCATAACGACCTCGAAATACCGAGACTAATTTGACGCGAGAGGGATTCAAATCTTGGAAGAAATGCCTTGGGACCAATGATGTAGAGATTATAGACCCATTCAACCACCTTCCAAGGCTGTGGCGGCCTCAGCAGGAGGGGTTCTGAGACTCGGTCTAGCGATAGTATGCATGTAAGACTCAGCTCATATAGAGACGAAATTCTACGACCTGATATGTAGCATCATGGTGAGTTTGGATCCGACGTACCAAAGCGTGCCACGAACGTTCTGATCCGTCATCAGGACTTCTTGCATGG